CTGGCCTCCCCCTGCAGGCCCCAGAATAGCTAGGGTTGGCCCTGGCGAGGGGCCTGCCACCGCCGCGTCCAGAGGCGACGAAGATGACTGCACCGCAGGGCGAGGGGCGGCTTCTCCTTGCCTGTCTGGGGACGGCTCCTTGGGCCTGCTGCGCCGCTCCCGCGGGCCCCAGTGCCCAAGGCTGGGCCGGAGGCAGTTTGTCCGATGTGGCTGAGAAGAACGGTGGGAATATGGGACCTGCACGCCCTGGACTCCCGCATTGATACTGGCCACTGCCCCTGCTGCCACGCCGCCGCCACTGGGGCCATGCCGGTCTCACAGGCTGTCGGTGATTTGCCTCTCCTCGGTGAGGGGCTGAATTCTCCCTCCGAGTCGGACCACTGCCCTTCCGGCGACCAGGGCGGAGCCGTAGATGCCTGAGTCTGTCGGCCGACCCTTGTCGGCGACCGGTAAGGAAAGGGCGAGGAACGGTTGTTACAAGGAGGGAGAAAATTGGTTTTTCTTAACCGCTGAGGATCGGACAAGAAGCAATGGGCTTAAATTGCAGCAAGGGCAGTTTAGGTTGGACATTAGGAAAAACTTCAGAGTGTCAGAGTGGTTAGGCACTGGAATAAATTGCCTAGGGAGGTTGTGGAATCTCCATCATTGGGGATTTTTAAGAGCAGGTTGGACAAACACCTGTCAGGGATGGTCTAGATAATAGTCCTGCCATGAGTGCAGGGGACTGGAATAGATGACCTCTCGAGGGCCCTTCCAGTTCTGTTTCTATGAGTCTATGAATGAGCTTGATACGTTTGTGGAGGGGATGGTATGATGGGACTTCCTACAATGGCATGTAGCCGATCTGTGACTGTTAGCAGCAAATATCCCCAATGGCCAGTGATGGGACACTAGATGGGGAGGGCTCTGAGTTACTACAGAGAATTCTTTCCCAGGTGTCTGCCTGGAGGGTCTTGCCCACAAGCTCAGGGTCTAACTGATCACCATATTTGGGATCGTGAAGGAATTTCCCCTGGGTCAGATTGGCAGAGACCCTGGAGTTTTTTTCACCTTCTTCTGCAGCATGGGGCATAAGGTCACTTGCAAATTTAAACTAATGTAAATGGTGGATTCTCTGTAACTTGAAGTCTTTAAACCATGATTTGAGGACTTCAGTAACTCAGCCAGAGGTCAGGGGTCTGGTACAGAAGTGGGTGGGTGGGGTTCTGTGGCTTGCAACGTGCAGGTCAGACTAGATGATCACGATGGTCCCTTCTGGCCTTACAGTCTATGAATCTATCCAACAAACTTGACTGTCCAGAGGATAAGGAAAGTCACCCTGTGGGATTGTGGGATCCTTTTCACACTCAGAGCATGAATCCAGTGGGACTGCATCTACACTGCAAAACAGGGCTTGAACCCTGGGTCCCAGCTTGACTCAGGCTCAGACGCCCCACCCCCATTGGGTCCAATCCCTGGGTTAGTGCAATTTGTGTGTAGACAGAAGGGAGGGTTAGCCTGAGTTTGACCCCCAGGCTTCCACTGCAGTGTGGACAGACCCATAGTGCCATTGCAGCACTGCCATTTCCATGCAGTCAGGAGGTGTCAGCAGAGGCTCGACACGCAGAGGCAGCCCCAGGCTTAGCCTGTAACAGGGTGGAGGGGGCCAGTAGCCATGGGGATGAGCTCAGCTGCCCCTGCCAAGGATGTGCACCATCCCCCGCCCCACTGAAATCAAATGGGCTTTCCCAGGGGCAGCCAATTAACCCTTCGTGTTCATAGATCCCCAGGCAAACTGCAAAGTGGGCTAAACTCTCCCCAGGCATCCCCTCAACGGGCCCCTCCCCCTTGTGCTTGTACCTGGGGATCATGCCCCCACCCAGCAGATTTAACCCTTTCCCCATTGCTCAGCACCCTGGTTATCAACATGTTCTCCTCGAGGTTGTCAGACTGAGGTTCCCCCGAGCACCCCATTCTTGCAGGCAGCAGGCTTGCCACCTACCCACTCCAGATACGATGCCCTGGCACTGCCAGCAGGCAAGAGCAGCACCTCATGGAGACCCACGTTGACCACGCTCAGCCAGGGGCCCTGGGCTGTGAAATCAGAGGAGGGGAGAGGTGTCTCATCCAGGCTAGCCCCAGGCAGGGCAGGAGCACTGCCCGCAGCCCAGGCTCCGGTGACTTGCCCTAGGCCAGGCCACCTGCTTGGCTCCATGGTCCAGATCTCCCCTAGGCACTGGCAGTGCTACCACCATGACTAACCCTCTCTCCGAGGTGCTCTCGCTCTCCTCGAGCTGTAGAAGGGTCTCACATCCCCACCTCCAGCATATGGCCTAGCTCCTCCGCTGCTTGCCTCTGAACCCCTTTGGTTGTCCCACACTCTCCAGCACCAGCCACGGCCACTCCGCGGTGCCTCCTGCGCGCACTAGCTCTCCATTGGTCAGCCGGCTGTAGGCTGACTCCATCAGACCCATTTCTAAAGCACCCACCATGAGTGGCCTGGCTCGTATTTCTACCCTCTCCCACGCCCGCTGTGTCATTCCCTGGGCAGTTTGCAAAGCCTCCCAGCGTGTCGAGGTTAACCTGCAACTTACCCCCAGGCGTGGAAACCTTGAGCAGCAGCACAGGCTGCGTGGAACCCTGCAGTGTCGTGCCCTCCTCGCCCCGTGGCCCCCAGCACCGGTCAGAGCCAAGAAACGTCCCGAGGGAGATTTAACCAGCTGAGTGGGTGGCTAAGCTGCCGGACTCTCTATTCTAATGAGGTGCTACGCCGCACCCCCCACTTCACTGCCCCACCAGCACTCCTGCTTTGACCCTTGCAAGCAAAGGGGGTGGGGGGAGGGTACTGAGCCAGGGTTGGGGGGGCTTTGGACTTGTTGGCTAGCTGAGCAGGGCCTGAGCCCCGGCATGAACGGTGCTACTGGCACCTTGCAAGACCGGATTCTACAGCTGCTCCCACTGAAGCTAACAGGAGCATCCAGCATATGCAGCCTCAGCAGAGGGCTAATGACATGGCCACCACTGCCCCTGCAACTCCCCCGTAGCTGCCAGGAGCATGCTCAGCTCCTTGGCACTGCAGCCTGGAGCACACGCTCCCTGCTGCCCCCACAGCAGCCAGAATCCAAAGTGCTGCCAACACCAAGGGCAAGTGAGTGCCACACTCTAGGCTGGGGTGGGAGAGACCTGGGATCAAGGCCCGGCCTGGGGAAGACACTTAGGCACAGATCTTCAGAGATGAGAACTTCCATTGAGCTCAACACGAGTTAGGTGGCCACATACCTTTGGGGGAACTGGGCCTTTTGTGCCTCAGTTTCCCCCACAGGGATAACAGCCCTGCCCTACATGAGGCTAAATCCACTGAAGACTGGGAGGGGCTGTGACTTTGGGGGAGGGGGGAGAAGAGTGAAGGATACAAACAGAGCTGGGGGCAGTTTGACTGTTTTGCCAAGAAACAGGCGTTTTTCAGAAACCAGGTTAGTGAGACCAGTTGGTTTCCCAAGTTTTCCAGGGGCTGGTCTACACTGGGGGGGGAGGGAGGGGGGAATATTGATCCAAGATACGCAACTTCAGCTACGTGAATAGCATAGCTGAAGTCGAAGTATCTTGGATCGAATTACCTGGGGTCCACACGGCGCGGGATCGACAGCTGCAGCTCCCCCGTCAACTGCGCTACCGCCGCTCGCTCTGGTGGAGTTCCGGAGTCGACGGTGAGCGCGTTCGGGGATCGATATCTCACGTCTTAACGAGACGCGAGATATCGATCCCAGATAAATCGATTGGTACCCGCCAATACGGCGGGTAGTGAAGACGTACCCCAAGACTCTTGGGGGGAGGCTGCTCCTGTTTGGGGCCTCTCCAAGGGGTTTGGTGTTTCTTCATTTGTTGGTTTCCAACTCTCTGCCCCCTTCCCTGGCCCAGCTGGTGGGCTGGTCGGGGCAGAGGGCAGCCAACTTTCTGGCTTAGAAGTTTCAGTTTTGAAAAACATTTTCAAAAGTGAAAAGAAGAATTTTGGCCCCCGGGCCCTGCTCAGCGTCAACCCAACAGAACAGCGGCTCTTACCCTGCCCCTTCCTCGTGGATTTCACGAGCTTCAGCCACGGGGCTGACACTGGCTCCTCTCCTTTTACCCTTTCATTCAACCCCCTCTCCATCCCCCCCCCCCCCCACCATTTCCAGCTCTTAGCCCTGGGGAGACTGGGTAAACCTGAGCCAACGCTGCGCTGCCAGAGCCTGCAGTGTCAAACCATCACCCAGATAACAGGTCTCCACCCCGGGCAGGGCAGCGATGAAACGTTCCACCCAGCCGAGCCCCCACTCGTGTTACTAACCGGCAGAAGGGTGGCTGGTGCCCAGCATGATCCTAGGCCCAGAAAAGCCCCCGCGCGGAGGTTTGTGGAGTTTTTTGTAACGTTTATTAAAAACCAACAGGAAAAAAAGGGTTTTAAAAAGACCTTCCCAGCCCAGCCTCCCTCAGTCTAGAGCCGGGAGCAGCTCCCTCCCTGCTGGGGTACACTTGCAGCCAGCAGCTCTGCCGTATGGAGGGGAGGATGGAGCTGCATCTCCCCGGCTCAAAAGAGGAATGATTCTCACTGGGGCTTAGAGCCCCCCACCCTGGTGCATACAGGCAGCTTCAGCCGTATTATGGCAGCCTGAGGACAGGCGCTAAGGGAATCCCCAGGGAGGCCTGTGCAGATGCCCCCCAAGCCAGCGTGGGGGACGGCTCTGCTGGCATTAGCCAGCTACACTGGCACCGGGAGCCAGGAGGGACGCCCCCCCTACCCCCTCCACAGCATGGATGCTCTTGGGCCACTGGGGCCAGCGGAGCCCATGCCCCGGGAACACAGCAGGCCCTGCTGCAATGCAGCCCCCTGCCAAGGGGCACTGGGCACTACCCCCCCCGCCAGGAGCCTGCTCCCCACTGTGCTGTCCCAGGAGCCGGGCCCCCACTGCCCAGGAGCCACCCCCCGTGGGACACACTGGCTTCCGCGTTAACCGTCTGAGCCACATGACACGCTGCCCCCCCCAGCAGCCTCGACCACGGGCTGGGAGCACACACGGGGGCCCAGGAACTGGCCGCCTGCCGGGGGTGGGGGGCAGCGCCTGGCACCACAACCACACACAACTTTAAGGCAACCGTCCTGTTTGGCATTGAGAGTCGGGGGTTGGGTCCAGCACAAGCCCCTCAGCCTCTCCTGGGGGTGGCAAGTCTGCAGTTCTTGGGGGGAGGGGGAGCTGAGGAGCTGGAGAGGGAAGTGGGGCTCCTGTGGGTCACACAGCTGGGTGGGTACAGGGGAAATCAGCCCAGCCCTGCCTACTGCCAGCCAGCACCTGGCCAGGGGGGCCACTGCCCCTTGAACAGCCCCAGCCTGCCCTGCAGCCACGACTCCCTCTCCCCGGGCACCACGGGGCAGGCTGGGGCTGCAGGAGGGGAAGCTAATGCTACAGAATATGTACAGCCCCGCAAGACCCAGCCTCCGCCCCAGCCAGGAGGTGGGAAGACGGGGATCCAGGCAGACCCCAGCTCTGGGATTCAGGGGCCCTTTGTGCTCCGGGCCACAGGGAGCTCATGGGCCCAATGTCGTCCCCCCAGCTCCTAGCGACAGCTACAGCCGGTCCCCAAAGGGCTTCTGTAGGCAGGTGCCTCTGCCCTGCGCGGGAGTGTCCAGGGGGGCTGCCCGTGCCACGCATGCGGGCGCCTCTAGGAGTCCTTGAGCATGCTGATGCGGGCATAGATCTTCAGCGCCGGGCCCAGCTTGATGTTCATGGCGCTCATGAGGTGATCCTCCTTCAGCAGCAGCAGGGCCTGCCCGTCGATCTCCTGGGCGCGGAACTCCTCCGCGATCTCCTGGCACCCTGCAGGGAGCCAGTGAGGCCATCAGCATGGGCGCCAGCCCAGCCATCCACTGCTCCCCCCCAGGCCAGCTCTGCCCTCTCCAGCTCCCTACACCAAGCAGATCTGTGCTGGCTCAGGGCTGGACGGGAGCCTGAGCCAGTGCGGGGGAACAGGACTGGCAGGGGGTGCTGTCCCCTCGCATGCAGCCCATTGTGCTGGAACCTTCCTCTTGGCAGGAAAACGGAACAGCTCCTGACCCCGTCACCCAGGCACCACGGCCAGAACTAGCTCAGGTGTGTTTTTGTCCCTGGCCCAATCTCTTGCTGTGAGCTGTTAAATAGCTCCTGTGTCCCACCCCACAGGTGGCTGCAGTGCTCCCAAGGCAGGAGCAGGGATGCTCCGTGACCCGATGCCCCCACTAGAAGGGCAGTCAGCACACGGCTCCGGGGCACCTCGTTTCTGGTGGAGGGGGGTTGGGAAGACTCCTCCCTCCCAGGGAGGCCCAGACAAACCCTCTGCTGCGTCACACAGAACAGCAGGGGCAGGTCGGGGCATCTCACAGCGATGTGACAGGTGGGGCCGAAGGAGCAGGATGCTGACGGCAGAGGCCAGGAGCAGTCAAGGGGAGCAGGAATGCCCCTGGGGGAACCCCTGCAGGACAGACTGGCAGCTCAGACAGAGGGGGGGCAGTGGCCTGTCCAAGCCCCAGTGCTGGAGGCAGGCACTCAGGGTCAGCACAGGCGAGAGGGAGGGCAGGGTGGTTGTTGAGGGGCCTCCCAGCCTGGCCACCAGCTCTCTGATTTGGGGGCAGAGTGGTTTGCTGTCGTTGAAACCTGCTGCCTAGCTCACTAGCTTCTCCCTGGAAGTCAAAGCATGGCTCCCCCATGCTCTTTGCTCCTTGCCATGCTAACTCCAGCCCATCCCGCTGGATAGCACAGAACAGCTGCTGGGCTCCACCCCAGAGCTAGCTGCATGGCAGCAGTGGGCAAAGCAACCCCCCAGACATGCAGGCCTCAAAGATCCTGCAGGCCCTGGCTGGCCCAGGGCCCATGTGGCAGGGAGGGGAGCAAGGCCAGGAGGGTCCCTCACCTGGCAAGGAGCGGATGAATTCATAGACATCCTCCACATTCCACTTGGTGGGCTCGCTGGGCAGGAAGTGGTGCCCAATGCCCACCAGGTCCCGCATGTGCATGTCGGGCAGCTCCAGGTCGCGCTCGCCCTGCCGCCGGCGTGAGGTGGACGAGCTGGCCGAGAGGGGTGACAGCGGCTCCTCGTAGCTCGAGTTATCGGAGCAGCGGCTGGAATCCTCCTGGCTGCGGTTGAGCTGGAGCGAGGCTGTGACGGAGAGCGGCACCGAGCCCGTGGAGAGGGACACCGGCGTCTGCGGGGCAGCGGAGAGGTCAGCCTGTGGAGGGGCCAGTCCCGCCCCGTGCAACACCCACCTCCCCAGTCTCTTCTGCTCTGCAGGCAACTGGGAGCCGGGACGCCTAGGTCCTATTGCTCCCTCTGGGAGGGCTGCAGTGTAATGCTCAGAACCAGGGCAGGACTCCTGGGGTCTATTGCTGGCGCTGAAGGGAGTGCAGTCTAGTGGTTAAAGGGTGGGGGACGGAGCCCAAAGTCCTGAGTTCTAGTCCCAGCTTCAGCAGAAAGTTGATTGTCTGTCAAGAGGTTCTTAGGTTCTGTTCACCCCCTGCCCCCATGCCCTCTCCGCATGTTACTGCCCCTCCCTCCCAGCTAGGCAATGGGGCTAACTGATGGTGACTATCATTGTAGCCCCATCTGCCCGAGAACCTGCAGCAGCGCCTGCCCCTCAGCCCACAGAGGCGCAGCCATTTGCCAAGGGGCAGCCCAGGCTCACACACTAGCTCCTGGGGGAGGGAAGGGGGTTAGGATCACCACCCCGGGGGGTAGACGGCAGCTCACCTGTTTCTTGGTGTCCTTGCTGAGGACGGGTAAGGCTCCCTTGCAGGTGCGACGGCGCCCGTGCGTGGCCGCCCCCGGTTTCTGGAGCTTGCTGCGGTCAGGGTGGAAAAGCCCCACCCGCTTCGTGCACCCCACGTTGTACCTGCCAGGGGCACCAGGAGCGGGTCAGTGACGGGGTCTCAGTTCAGCAGCCTCACAACCCTGCCTCACTCCCCACAGTGGCAGGATGGGTGCAGATGGCGCCTGGCGGAGCCCTGCACCAGGCAGCACCCCAGCCCCTGGAGCCAGCATGTTGGGGGCAGATGATGCTGAGAGGGATGGGGCGGGACTTGGGGGCTTTGCCCTATGGTGGGGTTGACATGCACAAAGGGGTTGGGCAATGCTAGGGGGCCTTGCCCAGCAGCAGAGCCGGGAATGCTGCTCGGCGGCTGTGGTGGTAGTGGGGTCTGGCACCCCTTGGTGGGGGGTGGGGTGGGGAGGGGGGGTGGGCAGGCGCCACTCAGCAGTGGTTACCTCTTGGCACAGGCCATGGAGCAGAAGCGTTTGGACCTCTTGAACTTGTAGGCGAAGTCAACGCGGCCACAGAGCTCACACTTCAGCTTCGGGGGGTTCCCCTCCTCTTTGGATTCTGTGGACACAGCGGGACACAGGGACCGACACAGACACACCCGGCTCTTAGTGACTGCTCGCACAAGCCTGGCATGCAGCGGGGCCTTAGCCACTGCCTGGACAGAGCAACCCTGCCCCCAGCAGTGCCTCTCCCAGCATAGCCAATCCCCCCGCCACACACAGGTCACCCACCGTAGGCAAGGACGCTACCCCGCTTCCCCTGGCCACACAGCCCCCCCCGGCAGGCCACTCTCGGCAGGCGCCTGTGTTGCTCTAGGTGAGGGGGTGACTGTCCCCAGAGGTTCCCTCTCTCTCAAAGGCCAGACGAGGGGATACAGCCACTCTGCAGACGCTCTGGCTCTCCTGTGCCAGACAGGCAGGCTGGCCTGCCTCTGGGTGCCACGGGATCCTGCTTTAGTGGGTGGGCAAACGAGTGTTATTCCTGGAGCCACGGGCTTGAGGGAGCAGCACAGGGACCCCGAGATGTTCTTGCCTCTTAACCCAGCAGCCCTGAGGAGACTGAACAACATCTGGGTGTTGAGGCATCTCAGCCTTTACGTGTCTCCCCCCGACACTTTACCCACATTAGCAAACGGTTGCTGCACAATCGGCCTGAATGACTCACCCCCCTTTGCATCCTGGCCCCCCAGCCCCCTCCATGGGTCCTGCTGCCAGACACCAGGCTGCCCCCCGAACCTGGAAGCCAGGCCAGGGTCCCTGGAAAGGCCCCAGGGGACAGGCCTGGCCCCAGCCCATAAGCCTACAAGCTGGAGGGCAAGAGCAGAAGCTCCCCAGCACGGCTACCTCTCAGCTCCCTGCTCATCTGCCCTCCCCGCTTCCGCACTGTCCTTGTTCTCCACCCTCAGCGCCCTTTTCTCATCCCACAAAGTGTTCTGCAGCCTTCAATGGGCCCTCAGTCCCTGGGAGGGGAGTCAGGATCATCACCCCCTCCCCCAAACCTTATGGCTGGGGAAACTGAGGCACAAAAAGGGGAAAGTGACTTTCTCACAGTCACCTGGGAGGGTAGTGGCAGAGGCAGAAATAGAACCCTGGTCTCCTGACTCCCAGCTCTAACCACTAGCCCATGCTCCCACCGCCCTATTCCCTGCTGTCTCTTCCTCCCCCGCTCCCCAGTGGGAATAGTGCCAAGGGCTGCTCTGCCTGGTCATCCCATAGTGTCCCCTCTGGTGGGGGCAGTGGGAAGGTTTGACCCTCAGTACCCACTGGGTTCCCAAGGGAGCAGGCAGCCCCCCGACCTCAGCTCCTAACGAATGCGACGGCTGCTCCCTCCCCTGACTAGAGGCGTGGGAGGATCAGCGGCAGGCGCCCCAGCTCTCTAGCGCCCCTGCTGGCCAGGGCCTACCTTGCAGATAGGGCTCCTCCATTTCAGAGTCAGTGGTGGTTGTATTGTCCTGCTGTGGGAGTTTCTCAGCCAAGAGGCCCTGGGCATACTTCTTCTTGAGATTCCCCACGAGCAGTGAAGAGCGCCCCACCTGGAGAGCCGGAGACAGAGGGCGAGACAGGTTAGAGGGCTGCTCTGCCTGCAGCCTCGGGCCGGCTCTCGGCAGGCCTCCAGAAACCCTGCGGTGGGTGGAAAGGAGGGGGCTTCTCCCTGCAGGTGCCTGCCCCAGAACTCAGCTCCAAAACCACAGACCTTTGCTGTTGGGAGTTGGAGGAGAGCTCCCCCAGCTGGCAGCAGCGATAGGTCTGTTAGCGGCTCTGTGACGCAGCCACTGAAGGGCAACAGCAGTGACCCACCAAGCCAAGCCGCTCTGGTGGGCCAGCTAGGGGGCAGGGGGATGCAGAGCAAAGCAAGGCTCCTGCTTCACGCTGCTCTGCCATGCTCCCTGCTGCACCAGCGGAGCTCCTGGCCTGCATAGAGTGCAGTTACTCAGGGGCACGCGCTTGTTCATTCTGACGCAGCGGAAGCCCCGCTCGGGTTTGGAGGTGGAGCTGGAAGTTCATGTGTCCAGGTACCCCACCATACCGCTCTGCTCCACTCCCCGTGCCCCGTCTGAACTCCCAGCTTACCACTTGCAAGCATGAGGCCAGCCAGCAACCCAGCTCTGCCAGCTTGCAGCAAACTGGTATTAGAGGGTGCCAGGTCCAGAGGCTGAAACAACTTGCTCAGCCCCACACGCTGGGGAAAGCCGCCCCTCTCCTGTGCCTCTAAGGTGCATTTCTCCTCCACACAGACTGCCGCGATCTTTGCCTCATCCCCATCTCCCCACTTCAGCACCCAGTTCGCATGCTCAGTGCAACCTCCCTCAGTCATGCAGCAGACGCACGCAGGCCCCAATCCTGCTGCGAGCAGTCCCATCACGGCCTGAGTCAAAGGGCCATGTGAACCGCACAAGCAGTGGTGAAATCCACCCTGGGCAGCAGAAGGCCTCGGCACCACTGATATCCCGCAGGTTTAGGAAGGGCACGTATCTCATGCTGGGCCTCTGCGTGGGGGTGAATTTCATCCACTGCAATTTGCAGAGTCTCACAGCTCAGTCACCTGTCTGCTTAGCCCTCCCTGGGGAGAGAGCCCTGGGGAAAATGTTTCCTGCCCTGCCAGCTCACCCGGGGAAGACTGTGTAGAAGGAGGTTTTTGTTTTTGTTCTGAGGACAGTTGAGCTTTTTCTCTAGCTCTAAAGCAGCTCGACCATTTTCGCACCAAGTGGCATATTCCCCTTTGGGCAGAGACCAGGCGGAGATGAGACGGCTGGAATGGACCCCTTTAAGCACAGCAGCTGCTGCTCCTTCCTCAGGAGCGCTTGACGCAATGCGCGGCTGGGCGTGTCACTGTCTGTACCGACCCAAGTGCTTTGGCAAAGCGGGGAGGGGGGGTCTCTATCCTCAGGCTGAAGCTCTGACGGGGCTGCAGGCCCCCCACCCCCAGTTCCTGAGCACTTTGCTCTGCTAGGCAGCTGCACAGACAGGTTAACAGCACAATATTTATTTAAAGGTTCTTGTAAATAAAGTTAACAATAAAACTGAAACCGATGCCCAGAAGCGTCCCCGCCCCTTCCAAAGGCAGTAATTCCATTCCGCACTTTCACCTTCGCGCACGGTGAATCCAAGGGTTTCAAAGCACATTTGAAAACAGCGACAAGTTTGAATCATAACCCTTGGGTTAGTGCTTTTCACCCCCGCCTCCCACAGTGCTTCCTAAAGTCTCATTATCCCCATGGCTCGCATGGGGAAACTGAGGCAGAGCAACTAAGGCCCCCATTTTTCAAAAGCGGCCTTGGATTTGGGGGGCCTCAGGTCCCAGGTGCTCCAGTGGACACACGTAGGGCCTGATTTCCTGAAGCGCTGAGCACTCTCCGTGGCCATGCACGATCCCAAACAAGGCCCAAAGTGTCTAAAACTGGGCACACAAATTCAGAGGCCACTTTTGAAAAGGAGCCTCACCCAGGATCACACCTGTCAGTGGCAGAGCTAGGAACGGAACTCAGGAGTCCTGACTCCCAGTCCCGTGCTCTAACCATGAGACCATCTGGCCCACTGCAGGGGCAGGGTCTGCATCTCTCACAGCAGAGGTGAGCGCCCCCCTCAGGCTGAGCCGTGGCACGGCAAAGACTGGAGGCCTATGCTCAGCCGGCTCCTGCTATCGTCAGGGAAACAGAGCGGGAGCGAGACCTGCGCGTGCGCCAAAGCGAGAACACACAAAGCGAACAGCGTAAAGAGGGGAAAAGAAGAAGGTGCGTACCGGGAACGGCTCTGCCCCCTCCTGGATCACAAACCCTTCGATAACATGCGTCAGGACTTGGGGTTTCACAATGGCCTGTGGTGGTTTATTCTCACCATTCTGGGGGGCAGTGCCAGCGACAGTAGAGGCAGAGTTTCCGTTCCCTGATGTCATGCCGGGGCTGCTGGGGTCGTTCTGCACATGAACACGGTCCTGTCCCGGCTCTGCAGGGGGGAGACGAGATTGAGCTGCAGGGGTGGGGCTTGCACAGAGACACACAAATACATCCACAACTGGTGACACAGCGATGTGCGCACACCGCCACAGAGCAGAACGCAGCCAGCTCGAGCAGTGACAGCACACACAGAGTGCAACAAGCATGCGCACACACGGCTAGCAGAGGCAGGGTGGGCCAGGCCTCCCATCCCCTTGCTCCCCCCAGGTGGGGCGGGCATGTGGCAAGGCGGTTGATCTTAGCAGGATTAGCAGCCTGTGTGGGATCTGCCCCCGCACCGTTCAGTGGGGCAGCCATTACCATACAGCTGACTCCCCAGCTGTCCCCCCGGGACGGATGAATGGCCCAGCGCAGCCAGTCACATGGCACTCTCCCCCCGCCAGCCGGCGCACACAGGCTGGATTGTATGGAGCTGAATGCTCTCCAAGAACCCCCATGGGCAGAGTCAATGGACAGAGCACACTCCCCTCCAGCTGCGACTCTCCCAGGCACAATGAACAGAGGGGAGCACCAGGAGGTCTGTGGGCAGCTGACTCCACTGTGCCCAGAGGATCTGGAATTAGAGGGGCCCAATCTCTACAGGGGATACACTAAAATACAGCAGATCCTGTGCACCGCCCCCCCCCCCCCACACACACACTCCATCACTCCTGGCACTTAAGCCGGGGTAGTCAAGCAATGAAGCATGGGGACCCCATCCCCCATGGGACCATACTGACTGTCCTTCTGAGCTGCTAGGGGCCTAGACAGACACCGGAGCCCTACCCACAGTGCCAGGCAGCAGGCCTCTCCAGCCCCATCGGACACTCTGCTACAGGAGGGCAGGGGGCTGGGAGCGGAGCCAGCTGGGATGGGGGGTGAGAGGCTCTGGGTGCTCCGAGGAGGCTCCCGCACACAATCTGGCGCCAAAGGGATCCCTGCCAAGTAAGGGAGCGATTCCCCCTCTGCTGCAGCCCCTGGACGCTGTCCTAAGTGCCGCCTGCTCCCCCGGCACTGGAGGGGCCAGCAGCACAGAGATCCTGGATCGATCCAGATTGCAAAGCTTTCCAGGGCTACTCTAGGTTATGCTGAGGCCAGCCCGGATACCAAGGTGCGGAGAGCGGTATAAGAATCTGCAGAACAGGAAGGACTGCCTGGCCATCAGCAGAGCCTCAGCCCTGGTTGCCCGACACAAGGAAGAGCAATTGGAGTGCAGGGCCCACAAACCGGGTATGGAGCCTTTGGATGCTAGAGAATGCATCGAAGTCAAGCCCCGGCTGGCAGTGGGGGAGTGCGCCAGTGCCCCCTGTTCACCGTGGCTGCTCTCTGGCCCCACATAAACCAAGTTTGGCAGGTCTCAGCCTAGCTCCATGTGGGCAGGTGTCCAATAAACGCCATCACAGGGACCACTAGCACTCCCTCCTCAGCCGTCTCTGCCACAGCATGGGGGGGCCATAAGGCCAGACTCTCAGAACAGGCACACTGGGCACAGAGCCCTTATGGAGCTGGGGCCTGTGACGTCCAGGCCCCTCCCTCCCCCATGACAGCATCCCCGCTGGCTCAGGGCTAAAACATAACCAGAAGAGGCCACATGTGTGGGATGCCTGTCCCACCACCAGACCCTTTGCCCCTGAGGTGCTGCTCCGGCCACCTGGGCAGGGGCTAGGCCATGAGAACAGAGCTAGCAGGGCACAGCCAGGGGATTTATGGCATTGGAGCACCGCAGAGCCCTGGAGGCATATGCCTCTGTCTTAGCAGCAAGGAGCCTCTCATGGCAAATCTGTGCCATCCCCCAGGTTACCCCAGCACCCTGCCACGGCGCCTCTTCTCAGTATGGCTGTGCAAAGTAACACCTGGGGCAGAGCCAGGGCTGAGAGCACTGCAAGGCAGCTCCACGGGCATGCGGTGTCAGTGCGTATCCAAGTAGTTCTCACTGCAGGAAATCTGCCTTGGACTACACTACCCAGAATCCCTCACGGGAAGCAGCGTGAGGACTCAGAGGCAGCCAATGCAGCAGCCCGGTGATTTGCTGGCTGCAAACCTTGTGGTCGCAGCGGGTCTGTACAGCCTAACCCCCTACATGTCCGGAGAGCGGCACAGGCCAGGCAGGCCTGGTTCCCAGCAGAGCCGAGTCCCATGGGTGTGCCACCCCCCCAAGCCCCTGCAAAGGAGCCCAAATGGGCCTCTCTCACCCCCCATCACTGTGACATCAGTGCACCTTACATCCATGGCAGGGGGAATCGCCGCCCCTCCCGTCCTCCCAGCCATGCACCTTTTCGCTCCCCAGAGGGCGGAGTTTTCTTCTCCCTCCTTTGTAGGGCAGAAAGGGATTCACTGACCTGAGCTGGGGAGACTCTTGCAGGGCTTGTGGTTTCACCCCCTGGACTCTAAAGCAGGTCCCTTTGCTGCACAGCGCTAGCACCTCCTCCCATCTCAGCCCCCACCTTCCCAGCAAACATCAGTGCAGCAGTCATTAAACATTAAACACATGCAGCGGGCAGGGGCCCAGTGTGGCTGGGAGCAGGATGTTCCCAGAACCGGCATGCGCTGGTTGGGCCCAACCCCTGCTGGAGTCTCATTGGCTCCTATTAGGAGAACAATGTGGCTAGGCTAGGCTAGGGCAGGGCAAGCAGGCTGCGGTTTAACTTACTGCCCCTGGAGAGTTTAGGCCAGGGAAGGGGTGGATGCTGGCTGCTGGGCATGGCTGCGGGCCAAGTAGTCTGCACACGCAATGCACTGACAGCGTGCGCGTAGGTGCAGACTGTGGGGGCGCGTGCAGGCAGTGTAGTGCACAGACTGTGCGAATGAGGGGAGCAGATGGGAATGGGGTGGGCAGACGAGATGGGGCAGCAGGAGGGGGCTGATAATCCTAGAAAAGCAGGGCTGGAAGGGGCCTCAAGAGATCATCTAGTCAGGACAGGACCAAGAAAACACCACCTGTGCAGAGTCCGCAATTAGAGACCCCCCCCCCCCCCGCCCAATGGCTGGAATTGAGGCTCCTCCCCCATGTAGCTGCAGCCCCACAGCCCATTACAGCGCAGTGGGCAGGATGGGGCGTTCAGGGTGATGAGATGAGAGCGGCACAGGAACCAGGACACACCCACGGCTCTGAAGAGGAGTCTGAGCACAGGCTAGGACCCTCTGTGCTCCCTACAGCTCAGCCACAATCGGGGGGGAGGGGGGACCCAGGGAGGCTCCTCTCAAACACGGAGATCCTGCCCTCTTCCCCCATGGGGGCAAACAGGAGAACGGGACTAACAATGCGAGGGTCAGGGTCTCTGCCCATTGCCAAGGAGGAGGAACGACACTCAGCCCCAGAATGAAAAGGCAGATTGACAGGGAAGCCAGCTGAGGGTGGCTGGGAAGGGGCAGTAGAATGGGGACCCCAGAACCCGGTCTCCCGGAGGTCGGCAGGTGGGGTGACTGGAGATGCCAGAAGGGGGACTGGACTGAGCCTGGAAGCAGCTGGAAAGCCTGTGAGGTTGGGTGCAGCACTCTGCATCACAAGGAGACCATGGAGTCCAGCCCCAACAGGGCCCCCCCAGACCACGGGGTGGTGCCATTGACAGGGCCACAGACAGACAACAGAGAGAGAGGGGCACGGATTGCCTTGAGGTTCTTGGGACTGGGAGCAAAGCAGGAGCCTGAGTTAAGGAGAACCATGGCCCCGAGGAGCCAGGCCGAGGAGGAGGGAGTCCACACGCTTCAGGGAGTTCCTGGAGCAAAGGCCAAAGGAGATGGCAGATGGGGACGGAGAGATTCGGGAGCACGTCCCAGGAGCTGCTGGACAAGGAGATGATCCAGGTCAAAGCAAGCAATAGGGCACCCCAGGGACAGGGAACCCCGAGCCTGGGGCAGGCATCTCCAGGAACAAAGGATGAAGTATTAGCAAGTCCAGAAGCAGACCAGACTTGAGACTCTAGCTGCTCCAGCCCAGGGAGATCAATTGCATCAAAAGCCCAGCTGGGAGTAGTGCTGGTGTGATGAGATCAAAGGCTCTGGCCACCCAGGAAGTGCAGTCCCGGTGCTGGGGAGCCATGCTCTGGGGGAGAGGGGAGACTCCTGCTGTGCAAAGGGCGCTGTGGCTGTGGGTAACCCTCTGTGCTGAGATGGGGTATCTCTGCAACACTCCCGCAAGGAAAGCAGCATTTGCAATCCGAGCGGATAGGCGATCTACAGGCGGCTGCAGACAGCTCAGGCTGGTCGGTGCTGGGGGGTGGGGGGGCGCTGCATACCCTGGGACCCCTTTAACATCAGTGTCACTTTGCAAAAGTTGCCAGAGGCCTCCATGCACCGCAGGGGGAGCAGCATCATTCCTCCCTGAGCTAGCGCACCCCCCCCAGGAGCGAGAGGGGAGCTCAGTCTCCATGGCTCAATCATCCTTTTCTTTTCTGCAGAGGCTGCCAGACAAGTGGCCCCAACAGTGACAGCTGCAGGGGTGGATTCCTTGTCATGTGGACACCTGTCAGCGGAGACCCCTCAACTCGTTGCACCTAGAGGCTCCTGAAGCGATTTGAGAGCAGCACTCCCTGTCACTACCAGCCTGAGCTAGAGTCAAGACTCTTAACCCCCTGAAGCAGCCAGCCCCCTTCCTGCCACGCAGAGAGTATTCCAGGGAACCCACCAGCCCCTCTGAGATCAGAAGCAGAAGAGACACAGAACAGGGATCCGTTGGAGCCTGGGAAATCCTCACCAGAAAACCCCACGCTCACTGCCTCCCCCATCACCATCCCGCAGCAGCTCTGCAAAATGTACTCTGACCACACGCCACCTGGCCATGCCAGGCTGAGAGCAGAGGGAAGAAGGGGGCCTGGCACATCCTATGGACCAGGCCTATCCTACCCCCCACACGGGTTACAATGCAGCTCCCATCATTCTTTGGCAGCCTCAGCCTAGTGGCTGATTCACACTCTATGGGGAGGCTGGTGTGAGGAGCTGGCTCTTGAGTTTTCATCCACCTACTTATGTCCAGGCCTTTGTGGCTCACGCTGCATCAGCACTGAATGCTGACTACTTCTGGGGCCCAGGGCCTGATGGTGCTGGTGCCCACAGCGCCAGGCGAAGTCACTGGGAGCGATGGATGCGCAGCACCTTTGAAAGCCAGGTCAGGAAGGTGCATGCACACGGGTTCCAGCAGGATCTAGAGCGGAGCGTCGCCGCAGAACCTGCTCCAGCAGGATCTGGATTTTTCCAGCCTGCCGGGGGCAGCTACAGCTTCCATCCAGCGAAGATGGAACACGCAATCTATCCACCAGCCTGGTCACACGACCCACGTAAGCCGCAGGGCACAATCCCCCTCCCCCCATTGTCCTCACGCTGCACAGCAGCAGAGGGGCAACTGGTCCAGCCCCGGCCTGGCAGCCTCCCCCGCCAACCCCTCCTCCGCGTGGGCTGCCAGGGGTCTGCTGGGCTGAAACTTCCCTGGCTCCAGCGCCCCCGGCAGCTGGGCTCCCTGCCTCCCCTTCCCCTCCCACTCCCCCGCCCCTCGTGTCCTCCGCTGAACCCGGGAGCTGCGCTGCGCTGCGCTGCGCTGCGCTCTGGGTATCCGGAGCCCGGCCGCGAGCACTAACCTGAGCGAATCAAAGGCGCAGCGGCCGGTGCCGCGATCCCGCCCGGGGGCGGCCCCCCCGGAGCCCCATCTCCGGAACGAGCTCTCGGCACAAACAAAGGGCCAGCCCAGCTGCCGCTCCCTGCGCCCGGGCGCTACGGCTGGGAGGGGAGCCAGCTCCGGCCTGGAGCACCCAGCGCAGCCTCCGGCCTCCCGCGCCGGGGCATCGGAGGAGGTCGAGACAAAGGAGCCGCCGCCCCGGCGCTGGGGGCGGCGGAGAAATGCCCCGCCCGGCCCCGGGGTCAGGCTGTGCCCGGCCTCGGGCAGGCGGTTGCGGGAGCGGCCCCGCGCGGAGCGCTGCGCTCTAGCTCTGCGATGGCACCGGCCCCTCGCGTCTCCGCTCCGGCTCCCGGGCGGCGTCCCCCGGGCCGCCCAGCCGGGTTGGCCGCGCTTAGTCGCTCCGACGCGGGGCAAGGCGGTCGCGGGCGGCGCAGACAATGCGCGGGGGGAGCGGGCAGGGCGCGTCGGCCTCTTTGTAAGGCCGCCCGAGCCACGCAGGCGAGCGCTGCCATTGGCCGCCCGGCCCGGGCCCGCCTCCCAGCCCCGCGCCGCGAGGGGGGCGGGCGGCAGCAGCTGCTGCTGGGGAAAGGCCCAGCTGGCCCCGCCGGGAGGGAAGCGGCTCCGCGCAGCAAGGCCCGGGCTAGGAGCAAAGGCCGGTCCCAGAGCGGGCGGGGGCCGACTAAAGCAGGCCCCGCGCTGCACGGAGCGCGCCCCTTCGCCCGGGCCCTGCACGCCGAGAGCCCCGGGAGGGCGAGCGCACACAGACCCGGGGCCCCTGCCCCAGCTCTAGGGCCAGGAAAGGCTCCCGTGCGTGTGCAAGGCCGGGCATGGGAGAAAGAGGCAGCGGCTGGGGGGTGCATGGAAGTGGCTTGTGTCCAGGCAGCACCGCGCAGATGGGCTGCCATAGATTGGGGGGGGCTGGTATGTCTCCATGGCAGTTTAGCCCGCTGAGGGGGAGATGCGCAATTTGATGCTATTAGTGAGGTTGTGAGGACAATAATGCCTGCATCTGTAATTTTCACTCCATGCATCGGAAGAAGTGGGTTTTTTATCCACAAAAGCTTATGGCTAAATAAATCTGTTAGCCTTTAAGGCAGGGGTTCTCAAACTGGCGGTCGGGACCACTCAGGGGGTCACGAGGTCATTACATGGAGGGTCATGAGCTGTCAGCCTCCACCCCAAACTCCGCTTACCTCCGGCATTTATAATGGTGTTAAATATATTTAAAAGCGTGTTTAATTTATTAGGGGGGTCGCACTCAGAGGCTTGTGATGTGAAAGGGGTCACCAGTACAAAAGTTTGAGACCCACTGCTTTAAGGTGCCACCGGACTCCTTGTTGTGAGGATAGGGACTATTAAGTGTATTACTATTTATTTTGTTTAAAATTGTATTATAGCTTGTAAACATTAATAAACTATCATAATGCACACAATACCCAGACCCCCACCTGTGCTCTCTTCACAAACTCACACACATGCACACCATAATAGTCCCCACACACACTATGCACAGACACACTCCCATGCACCATTCTCAAACACATTGCACACACCCTGGATGTTAAATCAGGCACTTCCACAGACAGCAAGTACATACTTTACAATACCATTATGTCCTATCCTGTGTGGGTGTCATGTTGTGAGGTACAAGTCTGATGGCCTGAGCACAAGGCTGGGGGCCAGGTACCACTGATTTCTCAACCCGGCCCTAACACTGGCTCCTTGTACAAGAGCAAAGCCTGCTGCTGCTCTGTGCCTCAGTTTCCCCACCTGTCAAAGCAAATGTTGGCAGAGTGCTCTGGCCTTTGTAAATATACTGAGTGAGGATATTTGTGTATTATAAATGTAAAGGATATTTGTGTATTATAAATGTCCTTGGAATCCTGCCTTTCTATTGGTTCCTGCACCAACCTGACTGCTAGGAAACAACCCATTCTGGCAAGCAGACACTGTCTCTGTGACAACGTGCAGTTAAACTGCAGTGTTCCCTACATAAAGAGGTTGTTATTTTAGATGAACAATAATGACCTCTGGGTCAGGCGTTACCTGGTTAAAAGGCCTCTGCTGTTCCTATTCACTGCACAATTTGGATTGTATAAAGCAAACCATAACACAAACAGAAATAAGTTTCCATGGCTTAAAAACAATAAATATTAAGTCCAGTGGAAACAATGTTTTGTAAACTTCCCCTGCAGAGTTTTCAGCCCAAAGGCTGCAGAGCTGAGAACCTCAAAGTGAAACTGAGAAGAAACCAAAGGGCAACACCGGATGCTAATGTTTGTTATTGCCTACGCAGTGACACTGAAATAAGGACAAATCAGAGATTTTACAAGCACTTTCCCTTGTAAAGACTTCATGTGGTTTTTAGCAACACACATACAGAAACAGCTGTGTGCAATACACAGGGTGCCAGCGATACCATGAAATCCACCAGGGATTTAGCTATTGATCTTGGTTTTATGTGGAGGGTGCCCAAAGACTATGGTGATGGGCAGCTGGAGAACATCCTAAGGGTTGGTCTACACTTAAAGGTTTTATCAGCATAATTATGCCATTAAAAGCCCTAGTGTAGACAGTTCTATTGGTACAGAAGTGACTATACCAGTCGAGTTGATGCCAGGTCCCCGATATAGTGTGTAAGCACTTTATACTGATAGAACACACCTACACTAAACAGGTTTTGGTGGCTTAACTAAAGATCCAGATACATTGGCAAATCTTTTCCGTAGTGTAGACAAGGGGCTGGATTAGATTAGATAGATAAGGTCTGTCTGAGTTGTACTTGGTGAAGGACCTGAGGTGGAGGGCAAATAAGCATACCTTGACCCAACCTTGGTGACTGCCCAGCCTGCAGCCGGCCCCCTATGTAAATCAGAACAGCTCACGGGCGTCTCTAATTGACACCCAGCTGCCCACTGGCGCCAAAGGGCCATTCCAGCAGCCAGGAGTAGCCGGAGTACACAGGCAGTTTGCCCACACCCCCTTGCCCACAGCTAGTCTCTCACTTATGCCAGGGGAAAAGCTGGGGGTGGCATAGTTCCATCAGAGAGGTGTGTGAATTTCAGTGAAGGGCCTGATTCTGAGTTCACGTACACCTGTGTAAATCAGGACTAACTCCCATGAAGTCTATGGAGTTACACTGGCATAAGGGAACCGGATCAGGCTATTGTGTGTCCTGTGCTTTTGGGTCCTTCAGGACGGGAAGCACTACAGCAGTGTGAGGAATTAATTCTTTATGCTGTAACTACTGGTGGGAAGACATGGAATACATGAGGCTAGTGTCTACCCAGAAATCATGGGCCACATTCTGTCCCACTCCAGCAATGCAGGACAGCCTGGAAACTCAATTCCCAGCTGGTAACTGCCAATATCACTCCTCGCTTTTGGGTACCACATTTGCTTCTCTCCACTCCACCAGCATCTCTCCCATTCTCCATGACTTCTGTGAAAAACAGCTTCTTTAGCTGGTACCTCGAGGAGATCTATACAGGCAGAATAGAGCCACCCAGGCTGGAGTGGGGCCCAGACTCCCTCTGTTGCAAAAGGAGTCAGATGACCTTAAATGGCCATGACAGGTTATAATGGGCTAATGTATCAAACTCTCCTGTCCTTTCTGCTCCCGCCCTGCAGAGGGACAGTGTGGAGCTGTAGGAGCTCTCTGTCTCTCTCTCACATCCATGCCAACCCATTTCCAAACCACGCTGGGCTGCTGAGTCCATACCAGGCTCCTAAGGGAAGGGCACCTTCCAGAGTTTTAGGCTCCCACTTGACCCTTAAGAGCATCAGTTTGTGACCTGAAAAATCCTCTGGATTCTCTGGGCTTGCGTCTGTTGCTCCCAGCTCCTTTATACTGTTTTGGAGGCAAAAGGGGGCCTGAAGGTGCCCCAGGGAAACCCTCCTGCACAGCTCCCACCTCCCTCCAGCAGAGTGGAATGCCCGTCAGGACTCTAGGCCAGCTCCGTTCCCAGCCCGTGTTGTGCAGGCACCCGGAGCGCTCCAACCGTTCTCTGCTGCCCGTGGCCGACACGGGGAAATGAGAGTAAGTCAGAGCGGCCCCGAGGCTGCTCTAAATTACACCAGGGGCCAGGCATGCCCAGGGGGTTGAGAAGCAGGAACGTGGCTTAAAGCCACCGATGCCCCCGCCCGTCCTGTGCAGAGGAATGGGGTAACACAACTTTCCCCCACAGCACTCGTGGTGGCCCCTCCTGGGCCAGGCTGGAGCACACTGGGGGGGCTGAAGAGACAGCACTGCGACCTCTGCTCTCCCCAGGTCCATCTGAGCCTGATCTGCCCCCACTGGCTTTAACTGCACACTGCGTCCCCCTCCAGGCCAGACAGGCCCCCGAGCAAACTGAGTCAGGCAGAGGGGAACTAGGGCTGGTGTGTGGGGGAGGGGACCCTGGAAGCGCTGTAAGGGTGCCCAGTGTGTGGGCTGAGCCCCTACTGACAGGCCCCCCGAGCAGCAAGTGGTGCCGGGGAAGGGGCCATCAGTGGGATCAGAAGGCAGATTTGCACAGTGCTGCAAGGGATCAGTCCCTGCATAGGCTGCACCTGAATTCAGCTGTGAGCAGAGCCAGGCGGGCGGGGGAGGGGTTGCTCCATTTCATTTGTTTGAAGGCCCAGCGGCTGCACCAGGAGCCTGTTGCCCTTCAACCCCAGTGCAGGCAACCTCCCCCCATGCATTGCCCCCACCAAGGTGCCTCAGCCCGGGCCAGGGGCCAGAGGGGAGCTCAGTCCTCAGCCTTCTACTGAGGCAAGAGTAGACCCACCAAACGCATTTCCCAGAGGCCCCAGGTGCGGGCAGATGAGAATTCCCTGCAGCCACTACGCACTGGGCTGTCCTTTGGAACCCAGGGGGATTTGTGAGCACAGCTGCCCCGTCCATGGGCCTCCTAGGCCCTGGACTCTCCCAGCTGGGCTATGCAGCACATGGCTGCAGGCTGGGCAGCTCCCCGGGGAAGGGGGGTGTTGTCTCAAAGGGTAGCTACTCCGAACGTGCTCGCTGGTTGCTGGAGTCACACAATATTCAGCCCCCGTCTGCTATTTTGGGGCTGCGGTTTGGAGTTCGTTTGGGTGGATTCTCATCAGGATGTGGGAGCCCTTCAAAGAATGGCCCGAGGCGGTGGGAAGTGGTAGAGCTGCCTGAGCCAGTGCCCCAGTAGGACCTTGCAGGGGCTGGGCTCTTTCAAACAAGAGACTCAGGCCGTGCAGGTCCCATGGCACTTTGCATGAGCATTACATTAGCCCAGGTGTCCTGGCTGAATTCCACATGGCTAGCTATAGCCTGCCTCCCTACATCTCCAGGTGAAGTTTCAATTCACTGCTCTCTTCTACTTTGCTTCCTGTTCTAAACTATTGTGGAAGGACTCCTGTGAGCTGACACATCCCACCCCAGATGTGGCTGCATTTCAGTGCTCACTGGAAGGGTTCCTGTACAGATGTAAAGGAGTGACTGGAGTTAGGGACTGAAGTCATGAGTTTTGGGTTCTCTTTCCTAGCCTTCCATGGATTCACTATCTGGTCTCAATCAAGTCACGTCCCTGCTCCATGCCTCAGTTTCCCCATCTAGAGAACGTGGCTAAGGCTATTTCCCTACCTTGCAGTGCTTTGGGATCCTGCAGGGTGCTGTAGAAAAGCAAGGTGAATGGGTGCCCAGGGCCCTGCCCGAGCATGGGAAGCCTGCAGCCTTTGAAGTTGCTGCCAACAAAGAGTGCGGACTTTCCACACTCCGGGGCTCCTATATTATTTCCAATGGGAACAGGCGTCGCAGGCAGGAGCCCATGCTGGGGAATACCAGGCTAGCTGGGGATGCATGTGGAGCCCACAATCGTCCCATCCCTGGGCTCCAACCTGAGCAGCACTAACCCCGGGCTTCACTGATGTGCCGGCTGCACTAAGACCAGGGAGGAACCGTAGGGAGACAAGGGCCTCCTGGTTTTCTGGAACGGTGCATCCAGCGCTGATTCCAGCCAGCGCAGCTCTCTGGTCTCTGCTGGGCAGGGACGGGAAAAAAGCTGTTGCCAAGAATAAAGGGAGTGGTTGCTCCATGGTGGTTCATGAGTCTGGTGAGACTAAGGACAAGGTACCGGCCTAGACCAAGCTCCTAGAGCATGGAGGGGGGATGAGGGAGACTGGGTGTGCGTCTTTCACAGAGGTGGTGACTGTGACCTGACCTCACCCCAGCTCGCTCTCACCTGCTCTTCGCTACCCAGGCCCAGCTGAGAAGCAAGCTCTCCTGCCTGCCCAGACGCCATGGCCTGAGCCTCGTGCCCCCATTTACACCAGTGCACAGTGGGGGTGGAAGGCCACCAGCCTAACTGGGCAATGTCTCCCTCCACTTTGCATCGGTGTAAGGGACGGGCCAAGCTGCAGGGCCACAGGGAAACACTGGAATTCTCCTCCATCGCAGATCCCCTCCCAGGGGGCACTCTGCCCCAGGCTGTGCCAGCTTTGCCCGGTATGATTCCTGCTGGGATCATGCCTGCACACTGCCCCCAACACCCTTGCACCCCACATGCACAACCCCCCATGCCCACTACAGCGGGCAAAGAATGGCAGATGGAGTCACTGGGGCGGTTATGTTCCAACATGGGAAAATGACGCGGAAAACATTAGTTTGTTGAATAAATGATCAAACCACCTCTGCACACAAGAGCTCTGCACACCCCAACATACAGTACACAGCCCCACAACACCCCCCACCCCTCCAAGACATATCCCTGCACAACCCAACACACTCCCAGCACACAACCCCCCCAACACACACACTCACGGTACATCCCACACAGGCCCCTCCCCAGGAGCATTTGCAGCTCTGAAGCCCCTTCCCCTTTCCCCACGCCTCCCGACGGGAGCAGGAAGACGCTCTGCCACAGGAGGCTATGGGGATGGATACAGCCCAATGACCCTGACAGATGGGTCCATGCCGTGCTGTGGCTTTTCCAGTCCAGAATATCCCAGAGGCTTGGCGTCTCAGGGGAGCCTGGCTCCACTTAGCGGGCAGATGGCATTAATGAGGCTGGCCCCATGCTGACTATGCCCCCGGCACTTGGCATTCGGGGGCTGACTGTCTGGGGGACCATGACGTTTCCACCCCCAGCTTGTCTGCTGACTGGCTGCAAGTCAGATTGTTCAAGACAAGCCAAGGCTGGGGACGATCAAACACCAGAATAACAAGAATGTCTGGGTGTGGGGAGAGGAGCCCTCCTGCCCCCAGCGTGGGGCAGCCCCCCACTGACGGGGGTGGTCAGACAGCTGTGGTTCTGGCTAGGCCGGCGGCTCCTCTGGCCATTTCCTGCCCTGTGTTGGTCACGTCCCCTGACCTCACTGCAGCACAGAGGGTGGCTGAAGTCCCCTGCCACATCCCTGCCATTTGTGCTGTCACTGCCCATGGGCCAACCGGTCAGTTCCCCCCGGCTCCCGTGCCCGGGAACAGTGCAGCTAGGGCTGGGCTGGGAATGCGGAATCTGACCCCCAACCTGTTTGCATTGGAATTCAAACAAAGTAAAATCCTGGAAAGGCTCTGGCTTTATAAAACCAGCCAGATCGAAACGTGGGGCCTAATGAGCGCGGCAGCACCCTGCAATGATGTGCCCTGGGCATGTCTCTGCCCGGCCTTCCTGCCCTACAGAGAGATGCTCCATGTCAAACCGGGCCCAGCTCAGGGTCGGGAGCAAGGGATTCAGCACAGCTCCCAGACACCCACAGCCAGGATGCAGGAGGCCTGGGGTTGAGTTGGGCCTAGCACAGGTTCCCCAGGCTGGTCCCATCCCAGCCAGCAGTCCTAAAACAGCCCAAGGCTGGAAACCAGGGGAACTTTCTGAGCTGCCCCCCAACTGCGGGTTCAGAGCAGCAGTGCTCAGTGCGGTGGGGAAGGCGAGAGCTTGACGAGATGTGGCAATAGCACCTCACTCCCATCTCTTGTGTTGGGAAATCCACCCCTCCGAGGCACTTCCACAGCACCCAGCAGCACGGGACCTGTGCTGCAGGGTGAACAGGGCCATGGATCCCCCAGATGGGAGCAGCCAGCCCTCAGGTGCACCTGCACCAGTGCAGCTCCCCTGTAAAGGCAGGATCAGCGTCACCAGTCAGGGAACCTGCTGCACCCTTGGCATTGCCTGGTGATGGGGCTGATGCCACCACCCATGCAGCCTGCTACATTGCCAGCATTACTGCCCAGGCAGGCCAGCCACAGCATTGGGATTCCCATGTGAGTGTGCCCCCCACACCGCTGGTGTCACTGCCCAGGGCACACGCCATGCTGCTGGCATCACCACACAGGCAAGCCCCTGCATGACTGAGTCACTGACTGGGGAACCGACCGCACCACCACCCATTAATGCTAGTCACCCCAGGACGCCCAGAGCCATGGTGCTGTCTCCTAGCCAGGCAGGCCCTGACTGCTGATGGTGTTTGGGGGGCGGCAGGAGGAGTAACCCCTCATCTAAGAACCTGCTTTGCACCAAAGCACCACTGCTCGGGAGCCAGCCCGAAGGACCCACCCACTGCCAGGTCTGATGCCCTAGAGTCTGGGAACTGTGTTGACACCTGCCCCTATCTGCCCCCCACACACCATGAAAGCCTTCTCCTCTGCAGCTCCTGCCAATGGCAGCGGCCTCCGGTAGCTCTTCACCTCGTCCTCCCTGCACCTCTTACCCCCTGTGCTGGCACTGCTCTCTCCACCTGGAGCTCGGCCGGGGAGCTGCTCCCCCAGCGTGAGTCAGAGCAGGCTGGGCGGCCTGTGGACGCAGCGCAGCGCAGCGCAGTGCAGTGTAGATCCCGGTGGTGGCACGCTCTGGGGCCTTGCCTGTTGGGCTGGGCACGGGGGGCCCACTTGCAGTATCTTTGCATCCAGGGCATTCTCCCTTGTTCTGCCTCTCCGATGGGCCCTGTGCACTGCTGGTGTGCACATGGGGATCCAATGGGGGAGTGAGGCTGCAAAGCCCCTTGGGGTGTGGTTGATTTCCAAGGTGCTGCCCAGAATACACTCAGGAACTTTCCCCCATGCCCCAGCTTCCCCCTGAACACTCCCCAGCAATCCAGCTCTGCCCCATTCCCTAAGCAGGGCCCTGCCCGTCCCCTTTGTCTGAGCCAGGACACAAGATGTCTCAGAGCAGGGGGTGGGCAAGGCAGCCGCTCCTGGTAACATCCCACTACACAGCCAAGGCTCCTTACCATGAGTAGGGGGTCTATTGCCCTCAGAGACCTCTGGGTCTGGGGGTGCAGTTGGGGGCATCAGGGCAGCCTGTGGCGGCTGCGGCTGCTGAGCTGGCAGGCTTTCCGGGTTCTTATCAGCAGGAAGGATGTCTTTCCTGGCATTCTCCTGGATGCTGAGCTGAGGCTGTCAGAGAGGCAGGCAAGAAGGAGAGTGTAACAGCAGCCAGTGCCTGGAGTGATCCCAGGGCTCCCACACACACAGGCAACACGTCGCCCAGCATGAAACATGAGCACCTCTGGGGTGGAACGTGGTGGCTGTTTAACAGCGCACAGAAAAATCCCACAAGAGTGGAGGCCAGGAAGTGAAGAAGAATCCTGTATCCGGCTGAGGGGACACTGTTAACAATCAAAGATTTACAGTAAGATCCCTACATTTCCTCCTCCAAGTCACAACCAAACCCAAACCCGGGACCAAATCTCCCAACGTCCCCCAGTGGCTGGCACCGCATTCCCCGGCCATGCCACACTCACCGTCCCGATGGCTGGCTGGAGCTGCAGGATCACGGCTGAGGCATGCTGGAACTTGCGCTGCGTGGCATGGTTCAGGCACCCGGGGTGTCCGTTCTGAGGCCCGCCCTCAGGCGCTGGCTGGGCTGGGCCCACAGCTTGGAGCCCAGGGGCGTGCAGAGTGGGCTGGTATGGCTGGTTGGCACTAGGTTTGTGTTGACTGGAAGCTTGGCACGGCGGCGGGTGGCACAGGGGGGCTGGGCCCTGTGGGGCGGTGTGGCTCTGGCCCTGCACCTGCGGGCTGGGCTGCACCGCCAGGCTGGGTGTGGGCGGGGGCAGTGGCTGCAGCTGGGGTGAGGTGTTAGCACCGCCCTGGATGAGCTGAGGCTGGGGCCTGGGCTGGAGCTGCTGCTGCTGGATCACAAACTGGTGCTGGATCTGCTTCTGCTGCTGAATGAGCTGGTGGGGCTGCAGCTGGGCGTACGCTGGAGGGGGAAGCACAGCACAGAGCCGTTCGTCACGAGGCCTTCACCCTCCCAGCTGCGCAGCCCCTGCTCACGCACGCGGAACATTAGCCTCTTTGTTCCAGAGACACCTGGGCTGGCCACGCCCGCCAGCCCCCTTCAGCTGCACTGGGGGCATAGCCACCCCCGTCCTCTGAGGTGCCCAGGCATGAGGCGCCTCGCCCGCTCTGTTCCCCTCCCCCCGTGCACAGCCGGGGCCAGACTCTCCTTGGGGAGATGCATGAGGCGCTGGACCGTGACTCCGGCGGCTTTATTGTGTCTGCCTAAGTGGTGCGCCCCTCCCTTGCTCCCCCAGGCACATTAGCAAGGGACAGGCGGGCAGGGAACGGGCATGAGGGGGAGAGCACAGGTGCTGTGGCATTTGGTCTCCCACAAACAGGGACCGTGAGCCCCCTCTTGACTCCGTGTCACCCATGGGGACAGAGGCTGTTCGCTTGAATTCTCGCTGCTGCCACCAGGGCTGGTTGTTTCTAGCCCAGCTGGTCAGGAAGGAAAGCTTCGGGCTGTGACCCACTGCGTGATGTGTGCCTGAGCCTGCCGGCTGGAACACGAGGAATGGGAACCGGTCCACTCAGTGGATGTTCACTCCGGTGCTTAATGTTATCACTGTCAACCACAAAACATTTCAAAATATGTGGGAATCCTGGGATTGTGGGCGGAGCTTGGGTGTTGGGGTGGAGCTTCAGTAGAGCACAATTCCCCATCCTGCCTAAAATCTCTCTGCATGTCAGAAGCACAGGTCTCTCTGGGGTAGGGATAAGTGCTGTGTGTTGGTGAGGCCCTGCCCCATTCCTGGCAGGGAGGAAGCACTCAGAAAGCAACAAGGTAAAACGGTGTCTTTCCCTCACGTCTCGGCTCCCCAATTGGCTGGCTTCCCCAGCACAGAGACACGGTGATTCCTGCCAGCCCTGCAGGGGATGGTGCAGCCATGGGGTCGCTGGCTGGGCCATTCTGCCTTCTGCACCATCACCTGGGCTGCTGGATCAGGTACCGACCCCAGAGTCCATCCCCAGTGAGGGACAGATGCAGGATAGACCAAGATGGAATTGCAGACTCCAGGCAGAGCCAGCCATGCTAGGCAGCTAGAAACATCCCCCAGTGACTTGGGAACGGAGCCCACTGGAACTGTAGCCACGCGGGGGAAAAACAGGGGATTGCACTGGGTGTTTGCATGGCTACCTGGCCAATGTAACAGCTGTCAGGAGAGCAGGGTATTTAGCACAGGCCTGGGAATGGGGTACTAACCTCAGCTCTATCCTTGGGTGGGTCAATGCTGTGGTCTGTACCTCACTAGGAGGGTGGTGAAGTACTGGAATGGGTTACCTAGGGAGGTGGTGGAATCTCCTTCCTTATTGGTTTTTAAGGTCAGGCTTGACAAAGCCCTGGCTGGGATGATTTAGTTGGGGATTGGTCCTGCTTTGAGCAGGGGGTTGGACTAGATGACCTCCTGAGGTCCCTTACAACCCTGAGATTCTATGATTCTATGGTTTTACGCACAGGAAGGGACAGCTTGCCAGATGGGTGACACCTGGAGACTGGTTTTACAGGGGGCTGAGGGGCCGGTAGGGGCCTGGTGCTGGGAGAGCTCTGGCATGGGGTGATTCTCAGCCAGCCCAGTCTCCCTGGCAGTGAGACCCACTCCCAAACTGACCTCTTGGAATGGGTCTGTGGGCTTGGGGGGGGGGGGCAGGGGGCTGGAGTGGGTTGGGGGAGCTGGGAAGGGCCACAGCTTCTTCGAGGAGGGCCCAGGGGCTGGAGCTGGAGATGTGGCCAGAACTGGCCCCTGGACGTTGTACGTTGGGAATCCATGGGCCCCCTGTCTGAGCATGGGACGGAGCTTTGCAAACCCCAGTTCAGCCCCTCCCCATGGGCGGAGGGCCCAGAGAAGGAGCTGAGGGTGAGCTTACACATCCTCAGCAGCGTAGTGGTTAAAGCAGCCGCCTCTAGCCAGGCAGGGGCTTGCCCTCGTTTCAGGGTAGACTCTGCTGCTCTGGCCTTTCCCCTCTGGCTGCAAGCTGCCTGCCTGCCCACTGCACAATTATCCAGCAGCCAGGAACTAAGTCTGTGCCACTGCGGCAGATGGTTCCCTCAGAGCTGGAGCTCCAGGCGCCAGCACTTAGCGGGGGCCATTCTGTGCCTCGGCCTGGCAGGGGGATGCAAGGGGTGTCAAGACCTGACCGCAGGCTACACCACAGCCACGGCAGCCCTGGGGAGCCCTTCAGGCCTGAGCTGGGGGATGGGGTTGGGGGAAGAAGGGGCAGGAGATTTTGGATTTGGTGTAACAGCGGTGCAGGGCAGGGGCCTACATCCAGTTCTCACACAACAGCCTGGGAGTTGAACCTGCAGCCAAGTCGTTCAGCCCTCCCCAGTGCGCTCAGCTGCCCCCGCCCCCCCGCTGGGGAAGCCCCAGAGCACGTGAGATTGGCTTAGAGCCTGGCAGGGAACCCAGACCCACCCCCCTGCCACATGATCTGACTCGAGCAGCTAAGGGAGAGGGATGCCCCCACGCTATTGTAGGGCAAGGCTATTGTCTCCTAGTCACCCCTCCCAGCCGTCATGCAGGCCCCAGGGGACCCCGGGGGTTTGGCTGCATTTTGTGCCATCGGTGACAGATCACGGGCTCGCACTAGCCAAGCTGGTTTTAAAGGTGTCTCTCCACTTTGTGAATTAGACAAACCAGTCCGGCAACCTACAACAGCTGGAAGTGTGGGCCCAGGGAGGGGTCCCTGTCTGGGCACCATGCGGGGGGCAGGGACTGGGGGCAGGGGCCCTGCCTGGGCTCCACGCGGGGGGCAGGGACTGGGGGGCAGGGGCCCTGCCTGGGCTCCACACAGGGGGCAGGGACCGGGGGGCGGGGTCCCTGTCTGGGCTCCACGCAGGGGGCAGGGACCAGGGTCCCTGTCTGGGCTCCACGCAGGGGGCAGGGACCGGGGGGCAGGGTCCCTGTCTGGGGGGTTATTTCATTGGCTGAACTGGTCTAAGCTGGACCAGCCAATGTGCTCCCTGGCCGGCTAAGCTGCGGCTCGGTGAAGAGGGTTTACCGGCAGAGCTAACCAGCACATCGCTGGTGTGGACCTGGCCAAAGTCCTTTCTGGGCCTGGATCGGGGGAGCTGCAGTGCCAGGAGCTCAAACTCAACCCCTTCTTCCTTCACCAGGCTAGACATCCAGGAAGGCCTCAGTCGCCTCCTGCTGCTCCCAGCGCCCCAGGGCCCAGCCCCAGGGCAGGCAGGTGCAGGTGCCCGGAGGGCAGGGGTTAGGACTGGGCTGGCTTAGGCCCTTTCGCTCTGCTCCCCTCACACCGACCCTCAGCTTTTTAAATGCAGATTTGGCCTTTCTGCTTGTGAAATGCCTACAAAAAAGAGGAGTTGCCATGGCAACCCCAGCGCAGGAGGGGGGATGGTGGCGTTTCCAAAGCTGCCAGGTCAGTGATCAGGGCAGGCGGGGCCAGGTCTTGTTGGCCAAGCACAGATGGGGACAAAGTGGGGCCAGTGCCAGGGAGCGAAACCAGCTGCTATTTACTAGTGCGAGCGAGAGAGCTGGGGAGACCCTGGGTAGCTCCAGAACGCAGCACCCCCACCCCAGCCACAACACATGCCTCTAGGGCAGGAGCTTCAGCACTCCATGGACCAGGGCATGGGCCTCACTGCACACAGCCCCCCACCCCCAGGCCAGGCCAGCCCCCCCAGCCCTGACACTTTGTTAAAGACACTTTCACTCCCCACTGTGGGGGGGGCCACACTGCACCAAACCCCTCACTGCTGGGCAGCGCCAGGGCGCTCACACACTGTTAGAGTGGGTCCCACCTGGCTGGGTAATAACAGCGATGTAGCCAATCCACAAGCTCCTCCGACTTGCCCTGTGCTACACACAGCCAGTGCACACAACTTCATGGCTACAGCTGGGGTGGAGCTCAGAACCTCCAGCCCTAAAAAACTCTCCGTTAGCCTTACAGGGTGTATGACACACAAGCAATGCTGATCTGTTCCAGTAGAGGGCAGTGACACACACACACTCTTCATTAGAATATAATTAGCAGTTCCACAGCACTTCGCCCGTTTAGATCAAATATATGCCAAACCCATTTTAGCCTGCAGCGTTGTCTCACCATGTTTAAAGCTGCCCCATAATATCATGGGGTTCATAGATTCATAGATTCTAGGACTGGAAGGGACCTCGAGAGGTCATTGAGTCCAGTCCCCTGCCCTCATGGCAGGACCAAATACTGTCTAGACCATCCCTGATAGACATTTATCTAACCTACTCTTAAATATCTCCAGAGATGGAGATTCCACAACCTCCCTAGGCAATTTATTCCAGTGTTTAACCACCCTGACAGTTAGGAACTTTTTCCTAATGTCCAACCTAGACCTCCCTTGCTGCAGTTTAAGCCCATTGCTTCTTGTTCTATCCTTAGAAGCTAAGGTGAACAAGTTTTCTCCCTCCTCCTTATGACACCCTTTTAGATACCTGAAAACTGCTATCATGTCCCCTCTCAGTCTTCTCTTTTCCAAACTAAACAAACCCAATTCTTTCAGTCTTCCTTCATAGGTCATGTTCTCAAGACCTTTAATCATTCTTGTTGCTCTTCTCTGGACCCTTTCCAATTTCTCCACATCTTTCTTGAAATGCGGTGCCCAAAACTGGACACAATACTCCAGCTGAGGCCTAACCAGAGCAGAGTAGAGCGGAAGAATGACTTCTCGTGTCTTGCTCACAACACACCTGTTAATACATCCCAGAATCATGTTTGCTTTTTTTGCAACAGCATCACACTGTTGACTCATATTTAGCTTGTGGTCCACTATAACCCCTAGATCCCTTTCTGCCGTACTCCTTCCTAGACAGTCTCTTCCCATTCTGTATGTGTGAAACTGATTTTTCCTTCCTAAGTGGAGCACTTTGCATTTGTCTTTGTTAAACTTCATCCTGTTTAACTCAGACCATTTCTCCAATTTGTCCAGATCATTTTGAATTATGACCCTGTCCTCCAAAGCAGTTGCAATCCCTCCCAGTTTGGTATCATCTGCAAACTTAATAAGCGTACTTTCTATGCCAATATCTAAGTCGTTAATGAAGATATTGAACAGAGCCGGTCCCAAAACAGACCCCTGCAGAACCCCACTCGTTATGCCTTTCCAGCAGGATTGGGAACCATTAATAACAACTCTCTGAGTACGGTTATCCAGCCAGTTATGCACCCACCTTATAGTAGCCCCTTAACATAAGCGTAGTAGAGGTGCGCCAGCCCAGAACCCAGACAGTTTTGAGCCATTTATTTTGCAGGATTCAGGCTCAGAGTGTTATTAGCCACAGCTCTTGCTCCTAACCAAAGGTACAGAAAGATGCCATACGGCCTAGGCTGTGTGGTGAGTGCAGCAGCCAGGTAATCAAGGGTCCTGGATTCTATGCTCCTCTTAGCTATGGATGGGACCACTGCAATCATCACTCTGCCTGCCTGTATACTACCGGCCATAGGACTGCCCTGACTTCATGTCCGTTTGAACTAGGGTGTAGCTTTTAGAAAAACATACAATCTCAATTTCCAGATTTCCAGTGATGGAGAGTCCACCACAACCCTTGGTAAGTTGTTCCAATGGTTAATTACCCTCCCTGTTAAAATCTGGCCTTATTTTCAATCTGAATTTGTCATGCTTCAACTTCTAGCCACTGGATCATGTTAGACCTTTGTCTGCTAGATGGAAGAGAATCCTATTGTCAAATTCGGTTCCCCAGGTAGGCAGTATGGATTGTGATCTAGTCACCCGTTAGCCTTCTCCTGGACAAGCGAAATAGACTGCACTTCTTGAGTCTGTAACTACACGGCATATTTTCCAATCCTTTAGTCAATCTAGCGGCTCTTCTCTGAACCTGCCCCAATTTTTCAGTTTCCCCATCTTTGTAACATGATTCAAGGTTGTTAGTGCACAGAATTAACGAGCGCAGTAATGGTATCCCCTAACGATCACCCCAGCCAGGCGCCTCTGGCTGCAAGCAGCAAGGCCCACGGGTCTGGGAGACAGCATGATCCTCGCCGGCAGCTCCAAGCAACGAGGGATTGCTCCGGGCAGCCAAGTGCCATCTGTTGCTCAGGGAGCCCCTCTGCCCACCTGAGCACATCTGCTGCTTTTGGCACTCTCAGCCCCGATTGTGTTGCCCCCTTTAACAGGTCTGCTTTGAGTCAGACCCCCAAATGCAAGGCCCCTGCAGGGTATCTGCTGGGACCACTCGCTCAGGTTTGCAGTCATTGTCTGGAGGAGCTGCAGCCCAGCTGCCCCGCAGCAGGAGGCGAGCATCTTATCTCCGGGCGCGGCAGATGCTGAGGCCAAATCCCACTCGTCACCAGGGCCCGGATTCCATTGTCTCTGCTCTGGCTACTAGCCAAGGCCTGTGAAAGCCCCATCGGGGCTGGGGCCAGAGAAACACAACCCCCCGGGCTCTGGAGAGGGGATGCCCCCCAGTGGGAAGAGCCGGAGGGGCCCCAGCTCCCCCAGGCCTATAAGAGCACAATGGGGGGGGGGCGTCAGAGGGGCTCACACAGGGCTGGTTGCTGCCCCCCCGCCCACTTTGCCAGCTCCCTTCCTGCTGAGGCTGTTATTTATTTATACCCCACAGCAAAGCTGCTGTTTCCACAGCAACCAACAACCACGTGGGAAGAATAGCAGCCAGAAACCAATAATGGCAGGTGTGGGGGGAGGCAGGAGGGGGAAGGGGAAGGGGGAGTCCTAGGGAGAGCACGGGGGCTAGCATGGGCAGAGTACTGGGTGAATGGGGTTGAGCGCTGGCGTAAGGCAAGTGCCGGGCGTCAGCCCACTTCAAGCAGTAGCATGTGTGCTCTCATCTTCCCCCTTAGGACAGCTGGGCCCCTCCCCACCCATCCGATTGCTCTGGGAGGGGGGTAATGAGGGAGCCCCAAACAGAGCAGGAGCTGGCATGAGGCAGAGCTGGCGCTAGGCTGGCACTGGGCAGCTCTGGGCAAGGCGGGGCTGGGGATCCAGCCCACGGGGGGGCATGAGGAAAAGGTGCCTCCCATGAGGCAGCTGCTGGAGTCCCTGGGGAGTCTAGTTAAGGGCCCAATATACCCAGGGAGCTGGGCAGAGCTCAGACAGGCCATGTGGGCCCAAAGAGGGGAGCCTCGACCCAGGAACTGACAGGGGGGCCTGCCTGGAGGCTGAACCACTGAAAGGCCCAGCCCAGAATGCCCCCACGGAGAGCACTTGAAGGACGGGAGGCCAGTGGGTAATGACTTCTGGGCCCATGGCTGGCAGGGGAGAGGCCAGTGGGCACCGGGTGGCAGGGGAAGAGAAGCCGTGGCAGCTGGAGTCATGGGTCAGTGGTGGCACAGGCAGCCTGGGCAATAGCTTTTGAGTAGCCCACAAAATTCAGGCCTAACGCATCTTAATTCCCCAGAAAATTCCCCGGTCACACCATCCCCTCCCCAGGCACCCCCCAGGGGTACACGCAGACACCAGCTTGGCTAGAAACAGCGACTGCAGGTTTGGGGGTGAGTGGGTCAGCTCTAGGGTTACCATATTAAAACATTTAAAAAAGAGGACACTCCACGGGGCCCGCTCCCGCCCCTTCCCCGCCCCAACTCCGCCCCCTCCCCTGCCCCAACTCTGCCCCCATTCCAACCCCTTCCCCAAAGTCCCTGCCCCAACTCCGCTCCCTCCCCTGAGCGCCCCGCATTGCCCCTCCTCCTCCTCCCTCACAGCCATGCGAAACAGCTGCCCGAGCGCTACCGGCTTCACGGTTTGCCGGGCAGCCCCCAGCCCTCCAGACCCTGTGCCCCCAGCCGGGTGCTTCCCCTCCCGGGCTCCGGCTGCGCTGGGGAAGCGCCCGGCCGGGGGCGCAGGGTCTGGAGGTCTGGGGGCTGCCCGGCAAACCGTGAAGCCGGTAGCGCTCGGGCAGCTCCGCTCTTCAGCTACACAGAGCTGAGGTGTCGGGGGAGCAGCAGCCGCCGCCGGAGCCACTCTGAGGTAAGCAGGGGACAGGGATGCCGGCAAAGCATGTTTCCTGGACATGTTCGGCTTTTTGGCAATTCCCCCCGGACGGGGATTTGAGGACCAAAAAGCCGGACATGTCCGGGAAAATCCGGACGTATGGTAACCCTAGTCAGCTCCCAGGCGGCTCCTCATCTTTTTGTTGCGGAAGAGCTGTCAGACTCCAGAGGAAGCACTGACTACGAAGGCCCCTGCCCACCCGCCCTCCCTTGTGCCTGACACACTAGCCGACCCCTTTGCGGAGGCTCTGTCCGTGCTCCCACAGGGGAAGCCGTAGAATTCCCTTAGCTCCTCCAAGGGGTCCTGGTTCAGCAGCCATCCTCCTTCCTTCTCATCCTCCCCTTCGCATCCAGGGCACTCATATCCCAGCTCGTCAGGCAGGGCACCGCGGCGGCGCTATTCTACGTGCCCAGGCAATGCTCAGTCTGGAGCCGTGTCACAGGGTTTGCGCCACTCGCTGGGCTGGCACCTCCTTGGGGCTCATCTGGGGATCACTCACCTCGGGGGGTTTCTCAGCCCCCTTTTCCCAATCTTGCACAGCACTTCCTCTTTGTGCCTTGGCTCTGGGCCAGGTCACTAGAGTTCCTCCCCTGGCAGGGTGTTAGAGTCTCTCTAACCACGAGGGCCGCAGTCTGACTGGCCTGGCCCCACCCAAGTGTCTCTGTGTGAGGTTCCTCCTGCATCTTGTTCTCTTCTTTTCTCCAGGCTGCTGCTGGCCCAGGCTGCTCTTCCTTCAGCTTGGCTGGTTATAGCACTCACTGCCTGGACCTGTCCCAGCCCCACCAACTGCCTCCCCTGTTCAGCTGCTCTCCCTCTCCCAGCCCGGCCTCTGCTCCATCTGGGGCTTCCCCCTGCAGCCAGCTCCTGTCTGCAGCCTGCTCCAGGCACACATTGGCCCACTCCCTGTCTCCTGCCCCCAGGTGCCACTCTGGCTCACTCAGTGTCTTCGACTGGCTAGATGCCGCTCTAGGCCCCATTCCTCCCAGAATGACCCGTGGCCAACCCTTGCTCTCCTCTGAAGGGCTCTCTGGGGTGGGGGTTACCCAGAAAGTCCCCCCAGTACCCTTGCCCCTCTCCCTTCACAAGTCACTACCACACACTCCCCTGCCCCAAACACCCCCCCCCCCCCCCCCATGAACACGTGGCCTGCACGCCATGCAGTGCTAAACAGCTTCTGGTTCCACGTGGGGCTGGCCCCATGTGTGGATGCAGGGTTTGTCTGGGAAACAGTCACTATGGATCTCCCAGGGTAGCAGGGGGTGGGGGGCATGCTGGGACAGGGTCACAGAGTGCAGGGCGCCAACCACACAGCACGCTCTCAAGTGCCAAGGGAGCATGTTCTCCGCAGTGAGCTCAGCCAAGATTTGGCAGCTCTCTGGTTGGCAATGGTGCGGCCGCATCTCTGGCATTAATGGTGGGAGGACAGTAATCAATCAACACGGTGGCTTCACCACAGCGTACAAGCATGTGTCACCGCCACCAAGTACTTGCGTGTGGCATTGCAGCATCTCTATAGAGCACCAGCACCTGGCACCACGCACTGCTGTGGGGCACCGGCACTGCACACCACTGTGGGGCACCGGCACCCGGCACAGCCACATTTGTCAGAGGTTCTGCCACTCGGCATCCTGTGCACAGCATGGCTCCCGCCCACCAGCCCCGCTCACCCAGGACGCCGGGGGCCTTACCTGGGGCGATGAGTGGGTGGGTGGTCACCGGTGTCACCGTCCGGCTCATGGGGTGCCCTCGGCTGTCCATGCTGGTGGGCACGCCGCCGTCTCCCTTTTTAAGGTGCTCTGCTGCCTGCTCAGCCTGGCTGCCCTTGGTGCCCGCAGAGGGAGCTGGCCCCACGGCCTTGCCCTGAGAAGTGTTGGAGGCCGGCTGGCTGCTGCTTGGAGCTGGCTTCATGGCCAGGGTGGGGAGCTGCTGGGCTTGGGAGGAAGCCACTCCTTGTGCTACTGTCTGCTGGGCTCTTATGGCCAAATTCTGGACCTGGAGCAGAGGGGCAGGAGGGCCCAAGGCCTCAGCATGGGGCCCAGACACAGCCCCCAAGATGCGCATCCCAGGGATGGGGCTGGGCTGGCAGGATCGGCCCCTTTGCCCAGCCCCTGGGGAAGCAGAGAGTGACTGACGGGGTGGGCACCTAGCCACCGGGAAATGGCCCCACAAGTCTCTGGCAGCACCAGCTCAGACACCCCTGGGCACAGCTGGATTGGAGCGGGCTAGAGTGGAAAAGCCCCTCTGAGCCACCCAGTCGCTAAGGCCTTCCCTGTGGCACCTGCCCCCTCCCACCAATGGCCCCTCCTGCCCATGCCCCATCTCTCCGGCCAGTGCCTTGCATCGCAGCACTGACCTCCCCACCACAAACTCAGTCACGGGGAAGGTACCTCGGCCCCCCTAGTGGGAGTGCGTGGGCCAACTCTGGGCACTCCAAGGGCTAGGCTCTCCTAACCCTCTCCCCTCCCCCAGCAGGGGCGACAGGCGAGGGGGGCGGTCTCTCACCTGAGCAGTGGTGGTGGATGGCTGGGAGGTGGGGGCTGCGCTGCCCTCGGGCTGCACCGCGGTGACTGTGGCCGTAGGAGTGAAGATGAGCTGGGGGGATAAAGGAACAGCACGGCCTAGGCTCCTAGCTACTTGCACAAGGTTACTTTGCTGGGCCTGGAAATTACATGAAATGTATTGCCTTTTACGTCACCCGCTGCCGGCTCAGGCCGAGAAAGCAAAACCAGCAGCCCCGAGTCCCCCAGGGCTGGGGTCGGCCACGGGACAGGCCTTGGGGGCACAGAGGCAGCTTGGGCAAAGGCGAGGCCAGGGGAGGTGGGGCACTGCAGAGACGGAAGTGTGTGTGTGGGGGGGGGGGGGGGGACTGGGGGTGGGGATGTGAGTGGGTCCCTATGACAAAGGATAACAGTTCTGTCACTGATTCTGGGACTTTCTGGGACGTCTTCTGGGGTAGGGCTGGAGCTGCAGTGGAACTGCAGCAGCAGCTGGGGTTGGGTCAGCAACCCTGGGGCTGGAGTAGCTGTCAGTGGTCAGTCCCGGTGCTGCCAGAGCAGGAGCAGCGTCCGGGGTGGGTCGGCCCAGGAGCCGCCAGAGCGGGTCAGCCCCTGTGCAGGAGCAATGACGGGGCTGGAGCAGCTGCAAGTGCCCGGCAGCAATCGAACTGTTCACCCCGCACCCGGGTATTTTTAGTAAAAGTCAGGGACAGGTCACAGGCATCGGTGAATTTTTATGGCCTGTGACCTGTCCCTGACTGTTACTAACAACACCCATGACAGAATCGGGTGTGTGTGTGTGTAGCGGGGCGGGGTGTGAGCGCCTGATTGAGGCAGTGACTGGATGATGATTGTGCGTGTGGGAACCGGCGTGGGGGAGGGAATTTCTGCCATTGGATCGAATGGTGGTGGTGACGGATGAAGCGGTCGAACTCCACGGAGCTGCTGCGCAGTCTCTGTAAGAGCACTAATATCCTGGCCCCACGCGGCTGCAGCCCCACACGTGGGAACCCGACGCTCAGGTCAGGTCATTGGGATCTTATGGCAGGACGAGCTGGAGAAATGTGAGAGAGCATTCTCGGGCTGAACGGGTCTGACCCCCGAGGTGGGATTCCCCCCCCGGTCCGTCTGTCACACCTGCTCTAGGCCAGTGGTTTTCAAACTGCGGGTTGCAACCCAAAACTGGGTCGCAGAAAGTCAGGCGCTGGGCTGCGGCGGCTCTGGTCAGCACCACCAGCCGGGCTGTTAAAAGTCCCGTCGGCAGTGCAGCCCGGGTAAGGCAGACTAGTCCCTACCTGTGCTGACACCGCACTGCACCCAGGAAGCGGCCAGCAGCAGGTCTGGCTGCTAGGCGGGGAACCACAGGGCTCTGCGCTCTGCCCCCGCCCCAAGCACCGGCTCCGCACTCCCATTGGCTGGAAACCAGCCAATGGGAGCTGGTGGGGGTGGTGCCTGCGGGCGAGAGCCGCACAGAGCCACTTGCGCGCCTCCGCCTAGGAGCTGGACCTGCTGCTGGCCGCTTCCAGGGCGCAGCGCGGTTCGCGGTGCCAGGACAGGCAGGCAGCCTGCCTTAGCCCCTGTGCTGCGCCGCTGACCAGGAGCCACTCGAGGTAAGCCCATGCCCCAATCCCCTGCCCCAGCCCTGAGCCCCCCTCAAACCTAGATCCCCTTCCTGCACCCCAAACCCCTCATTCCCGGCCCCACCCTAGAGCCTGCACCCCCAGCCCAGAGCCCTGACCCCCTCCTGCACCCCAACCCCCTGCCCCAGCCTACAGCCCCCTCCCACACCCTGAACCCCTCATTCCCTGTCCCACCCCGCAGCCCACACCCCAGCATTCCAAGCCTCTGCCCCAGCCCTGAACCCCTCCTCCCCCCCAAACCCCTCCTCCCCAGCTCCGTTGAGTCATGGGCATCAACAATTTTTTTCAACTTGGTCACCAGAAAAAAAAGTTTGAAAACCACTGCTCTAGTGGCCTAACTCTTGGGGGGTGACCCTGACTGTGAGCGTGCGACATCAGCTGTGTGCATGCGCGTCCCTGACTCTGGGGTGTGTGACCAGCTCTGTGTGTGGGTGCACAGGGGACACTGGATGGGGGGGGTGCACAGGGGATAGTGTTGGCCAGGGGGAGGGGGCAGGGGTGCACAGGGGACATTGGTGGCGGGGGGAGGAGAGGGGCGATCTGGCCCCAGGAAATATTTTTTCTTCACGGCCGGCTGGCTCTGGGAGGAGGCACCAAGCCACATCCTCAGCCAATCACAACGGCGGCTGCCATCAATAACTAATCAGAAGTGCCCCCGACAGACCCACTGTGAGCCGGGGAGCCAGCAGGCAGCCTGATCCACCCCCTACTGCAGCCTGGATGGTGCCACTTGGCCTGGGGCTTTGACAGGCAGCACTCCCCAGACTGCGCCCTCGCCCACCTTGGAATCAGCACTCGCTCGTGCCCCCTCCCGGCCCCTCCCCTGTGCGCGGGCAGCAGGGCAGCTGTGAGCGCCGCATGGCTGCAGGGCCACCCTTGCCAGATGACTGATTTCTGCAAATCATGCAGCCCTGGGGGCGCAGCCCTGACACAAAGGGGTCCTGCATCCAGGCTGAACAGGTGGAGCTGAGAGCCCTGCCTCCCCCGAGTGTGAAATGCATGGAGCTCCCTGGGACACTGCTGCTGGGATTTGAACCAAGCTCCCCAAGAGACTAGAGATAAAACTTGTCACCTGCTTCCCAGCATCCTCCCTGTGGGCTGTCTGGGGGGATGGACCCAGAGCATTCAGTGCCATGACCCTCTAGCACGGAAGATACAGGAGTAGCTCCACTACCTAGCAACAGCAATAGGCTGTTATCCTCTTGTGTGGCCCAGGCATTGAGGAGAAACATTCTAGTAAGGGATGACTGGGGTCCCTGACAACCCCTGCCCCCCGAGCCCTGAAGGTGCCCTCCCAGCTCCAGCCTGGGGACTGTGGCACAATCCAGGCTCGGCCCCAGGCTCCCCACAGACCCCAGCAGAAAGCACAGAGGCCAGAAAGCAGAGCTCCCCTCCCAGGTGTCTGTGCAAAGCGCCCAGCCCCGGGCGCCACCCCCACCCCGCTAGACCGGCAGGCACCCCGGTTCCCCTGTGCCTACCCGAGCGGGGGTGCCCCGGGGCAACAGCAGCTCCTGCTGGGGTATCGGGGAGGCCCGGGAGGGGCTCTGGAGCCAACGCTGGGGGCCCCTCCCCCTCTGCATTCGGCCCCCGCTCACTTCCAGCTGGAGCCCAAAAGGGAGGAAACAGAGTCTCAGGTACAAACACTGCGCAGGGGAGCAGGGAGAGCACAAGCAAGGCCAGGCCACGTACCCAAACTATGGCACAAACACAGGGGGGACCAGGGCTCCCCATGCACTGCTGCTAAAGAGACACCTGGGCCCAGGGCAGCTGCTGGAGGAGCAAGAGCTGCAGGGGGCTGGGAACAGTAGGGGGCTGCACCACCAGCTCGATGGAGCCTGTTGAGTACCCAGGCAGGAAACCCGCGCCGCTGGCTGCTTCGGCATAGGGTGAAGCCAGCTGACTGGAAGAGCAGGGGGCTGCGTGTCGGGATTGAGGAGCATCGGCACAGCTGGGGGAGAAGCCTGTCCTATGCCTTGTGCTAGCCAGAGTTTCAGCCTCATTCATTCATTTCCATGAGCACCAAGTCCCCCCCTTTCTGTACCTAAGAAGCCCCGGTGGCTTTTCCTTCAGTTTTCCCCGATCTCCACAGGTCAGGCAGGCAGGCAGACAGACCCGCAGACGTGGGTAGATGCACAGACAGCCAGACCCACTCCCACCCTGACTAACTGCCATGGCGGGGGAGGGGGGAGGAGAGGGGGGGAAGGTTCAGAAAAGAACTAGGTAAGTTCATGGAGGATAGGTCCATCAATGGCTATCAGCCAGGATGAGCAGGGATGGTGTCCCTAGCCTCTGTTTACAGAAGCTGGGAATGGGCGACGGGATGGATCACTGGATGATTCCCTGTCCTGTTCATTCCCTCTGGGGCACCTGGCATTGGCCACTGTCGGTAGACAGGATACTGGGCTAGATGGGCCTTTGGTCTGATCCAGTATGGCCGTTCTTATGTTCTTAAAGTGCTGAGGAACTCCATGGGGCTGTCCGTTTCCCCTGCTTTCCCCAGCACGCGTCCAGCCCCACAGTGCTTCCGGCCGGGAGCAAGTTCCCTCGACAGCTGTAGGGCTGGCTCCTCACCAGCCATCCTGCTTCTCCAGCAGCACGGCACCATGGAGAGGTGCCAGCATGAGTGTCAGGGGCCTGACAGGGGACAGCGGCAGAGCAAGGGGACCCCAGAGGCATGAGACGCACGGGCTGCCTAGGCAGGGCTCAGGGCTGGCGAGGGGTGGGAGTGAGCGATACGACCTCCCAGCCCTCAGCCCTGTGCCAGCCTGTCACCAGGGTGGCCATGGAGCTCTGATGTGCCAGCATGTGGGGCTAGGACCAGAGCAGGTGGCTCTTCTAAGGGTCACGGCTGCCCTCTGGTGGAGAAAATCAGAACTGATCAACGGTGTGAATGTGCATGTGCCTCACCACTGCCCTCTGCTGGTAGGAGTCCGAGCTGCACATGGGTATGGGGCAGGGGTGCTATTCCAGCCCCAGGGACTCTGCCACTTCCAGCGCCATGGCAGGAGTGGCAGGCCCAGGACCTTTGATCCTTGGACGGGGGGGGGAGGAGAGCAAGGGGGAGTTCACACTAAGGCCCCCACCCTCACTGGTGTCTCTTTAAAAGCAGTGGGAGAGGGAGGGAGGGCAGGTGGTGCCTGCGTGTGGCACATTCCGCGCCTGCCTCTTACCATCTGGGCCCGGAGGTACATCTGGGCCTGGCTGGCCGTCAGGGCGGGGGAGGTGGCATTCCCCAGGAGTACAGCCTGCTGGGTGATGCCTGAGGCGGCTGCAGAGTTCACGCTCTGAGCTCGGTTGATCAGCTGGGCGGCAGCAGGGGACGTGGCCAGGTTTATCTGGGGAGAGAGAAGGAGCCATGGGATGGGGCATGCTGCCATTCAGACCCACTGCGGGCTCAGAGCCCCTCCCACCAAGTGCCCTCCCAAGAGCCAAGGAGACTGGAGGCCGTGTCGTGGGGGAGGGGAGCCCCATAGCCTCTGGCCAGGAGGGGAGGGGGCAGCCGCAGTCAGGCTCCCTGGGTCCGGATGCCAGCCCAGTAGGGAGGGGGTGGAGATGGGGTGCTGTGGACACTGGGGCTCTGAAGTAAGCTCAGTTCCTACAGGGGCTGAGACTCTCGTCCTCCGCAGCTCCTCCCCCAATGCCCTTCTGCCAGAGGGCTTGGCCCCGTGCCCCTCACCCTCTCATTGGACAGCTGCACAGGCCACCCTGCCCCCGGGAACTCCCAGGCCAGCCCTGCCAGTGCCCTGCAGCACAGTGCACTGCATGCTGGGTCCTGGGGGGCGCCCTCTGGTGGCTGGACTCAGAGCTCCAGGGCTGCTGGAGGGAGCTGTCCTGGAGCTCCAGCTCCAGCGGCGCGCGGGATATGTGTGTGTTAATACATGGGCATCACTCCCCAGGAAGAGCGGGAGCAGTCCGGGGTCCCACCGGGGGTTACTCAGCCCGTGGGCCGAGGGGCACTGCCCTGGGGCGGGACTTACCGTGGGCTGCTGGGATGGTGTCTGTGCAGGAGCATTGCTGCCGGAGGAGCCGCCCTGCCTGTTAGCAGCCAGACTCGCCTGGAAGAGCGAGAAAAGGCAGGTCACCCACACCCCGGAGCCCAGCCCAGGCGGGGAGTCCTGCACCAACAGCCCCCTGGTCCCTCCCGACCCTTCAACACGGGGCCAGGGATTCACAGAGCTCTTCCCTGAAAACCCCAGCCCCATTAAAACCCAGCCACAACTAATTCCCAAATGAAATTAGAACGAAACCCTGACATTCAGCAGAGTTCATTCGGGCCACGACCCCGTCTGCGTGGTGCCCGCTGGCATCAGCTGCGCAGCCAAACACAGGCTCACACCCCGCTGGGCAGGACTCGTGCCCAGAGCCGGGCACTTGTCCTCCATTCCGACGGCTGGCGTCACACCCAGGTGGCTGCAGGGGCTCGGCTGCTCCTGTTCACCCGGCTGCACTGGGGCACAAACAGAGCCAGTGTTTAAAACGCTCATCTGGGTCCCCAACTCGGGGTAGGTAGCGCAGACCTCTGCCTATTGCCAGCATTGGAGCAGTCCCAACTCCTCCCCTCCAGCTGCCTCTCGCCCCGGGGGCAACAGCCCAGTGACCCACCCTGAAGGGCACAGAGCCTGGGGGTGCCTGCGCGGTCCACCCTCATCACCCATGGGCTCCTCCTCGCCTGCCAGAGTGTCACGGTGCCCACCTGTGGGACGGCCCTTTGGAACCCATGGGTGGTACCTAGATACCATGGTGATGGGTGCCTGGGGACGGCTGACGGCTGAGTGGGGAACGGACAGATTCAGCACATAAAAGAGAGATCTAAGTCCCTGCCCCGTGCCCGTCACCACAGTACAGTGGGGGCCTGATTCTGGGCCCCGAGCCCAGTGCCAGTCTGAAGCCAGCAGGAAGGGTGACTCGGGCATGCAGAGGAGATAAGCACTCACCCTCTGCAGCTGCGCCCCACAGCGGTTGTAACCCGCGATCCCCCCGTACCTGTTGCACGGCCGCCAGGCTCTGGAGCTGGGCGCTGCTGAGGTGCTGCTGCTGCAGGGCGGCCGTCTGCAGCATGAGGTGCTGCTGCTGTGCCGCGTACATCTGCTGCAGGTACTGCGCCGCGGTGCTGGGCTGCCGGTGCAGGGCCTGCTGGATCACCTGGCAAGAGGGGGCGGAGGATTGAGTCCCTCAGCAAACACGGGCCCCGCACAGCCCCAGGCCTGCCCCACGTCAGTGCCTTGGCCTGCGGCTGGGCCCCTCCAGCCAAGGCTGCATTTTGCTCTGAGAGAACCCCTGGGCCAGATCCGGGGCAGCCCCCTGGGCCAAGTGGAAAACAAGGACCCCACGAGCAGCCCTGCCTGGAGCTTTGCTAAGGGCAGGTCAGAGAGATCATGGGGCGTTAATCTCTTGCAGAGGTTTTCAATCTGCTTGGGGCCACGATGCCCAGGGCTCCCCCATCCATCACAGCCCGGGGCCCGCCCACCCTGCTCAGCTCCCTTCCCCCGCCCCCCGGCGATCCATCACCCCACACAAAGCAGGCTGACAGCTCTTCTCTGGCCAGCCTGTCTGGCATCTGACCCAGGCCGGAAGGGAGGCCAGCCCGGGAATGCAGGGAACTTATGGTGAATGATGGGGCTTTGGCCAAGTGGTTTCAGCCAGGGGAGTCTGGTAACAGGAGGCATCTGGGAGTGGACTGGCCAATGGCCCTGCACCAGAGCGTTTACACCATGCTTCACTTACACGGCGGACCAGCACCCGCAAAGCCACAGAGACCCCCAGGCTTAGAGCTAAGTAGCGGGTGCTTCTCTCTACAGCCCTGATCCCCGCGGCGTCCGAGCGCCGGGCTGGAGCCAGTCTTTGTTGCGGTTCTCCAGCACTCCCAGCCCAGTCGCAGGCTCCTGCCAAGAGCCTTCTGGGAGGCACCGTGTCCTTCCAACTCCAGGTCACTCAGCACTGCACAGGATCGGGCCCTGCGTGTACAGGCTAAGAAACGACAAACACACTAGCTGTCACCTTCAGCGCATCATCAGAGATCTACAACCGATCCTGAAAGATGATCCCTCCCTCTCACAGATCTTGGGAGACAGACCTGTCCTCGCTTACAGACAACCCCCCAACCTAAAGCAAATACTCACCAGCAACCA